GAGTGATTTTCATGCTTTTATTCAGGCCAGATTAATAATTTAGATTTGATCCTCAAATTCTGGAGGGGGGGTCCTAAACCGGCACCGCTCTTGTGACTTTTGAGTTGCAGGTCGACGGGCGGCGGTAGTAGCGGTACCCCGATAAAAAACATTTACCAAATATCTAGAGATTTTCTTATCTCTATACTTACATGTCATTGGGAGCGTGTTAAATGGCGTGTGCAACACTACAGTATCATGCTTGTTTAGCGACACGTGACTTTAGTCCCGATACAAACCATTTCCTCTAGAGTTTATAGTTCCACAATTATATTAATTGGATCCTGTGGCGTGCTTTGCGATAATAGTGGTGACCTGGAACGAATTACCAGTACCTATCTACAAGGTACCAGCCACTTGTAAATGTGTATTACCTAATATAAATATAAAGTGTGCGCATAGTGGCTGTTTGTGGTTCGATTGAACGATCGCCGGGGCGCGGCTTCTATAATATCACGTCGCTTTATGTTTTGACAATCGGTTTGAAATACATTTCGCTTATGAATATTTTTTTTTGGAGCTACAGCTTTATTATTTTAATAAATATCGTGGCTTTACACCCTTCAATTAGCGAAAACAGGTTAACTTGTTGGTGCAGTGGCTAATAAAGGTAAACTCTGCGTTGTTAAGATAAGGAAAACTTGAAACAAACCCTTTTTTTAACGTGTGGAAACCCCCTCGGGCCGGTATGGAAACCCCACCGGGGTTTGCGGCGGGGCGGTGTGTGGGAATCGAACCGACTAAACCCACACGGTGTGCCACTTCGCGCCTGAAATGGGAGAGGCCCGGTAAGAGCTGATATTAGGACATCCGGACCCCTCCCAGCGCTTGCCCGCAACAGTGCGAGCATCACCTTTGGGTAAACTCTATTTAGGCTACGTCCGGCACACGCGGACATCGCCTAAATAGAGAGCCAGCCAACAGCACGCCGCCAAGGCTCACCGCCTCTTCGGTCACAGTCCTGAGGCGCAACACAGCGTCGACCGTCGAACGCCTCAAGGCCCACCTCGCAGAGCTTCCTCAATAGGACCAGCTTCCCGCTCTTCCAGCACTCAGGGAACTTGAAACAAACCTTATACCAACCCGTCTGGCCTGCTGGCCAGACTATTGTACATGGTATGGACTATGGTACTGGTATAGTAGGCCAAAACCTCTTTTCTAAAGAGAGGCCTATGTCCAGCAGTGGCTATTAAAGGTTGTTGATGATGATGATAAAAACGCTTTGTTTTGTTTTGCATGTATAAATACACTTGAATATCCTAACAGACAAAAGAGAAGGTAGTGCGCAATATGTCGTGGTCTTGAAAACCGTTAGCCCCATTTGAATATTTTTTATATTCATTTAAAACAATGATGATAATCGTACTATCTAGACAATAGTACGATTATCATCAGATTAGGATCTGATAATGCGATTCTGGATAAATGAACGGAACTCGTTAAAAGTATAAATACTTTTTAAAGGTATATTATATGAATCATCAAAAATATAGTTCTAATATACCTAAATTTGCAAAAAAAGAGCTTTTTGTTTATCTGTTACAACCGTACCTGTTGAAAATGCTTGTTGAACTAGTCACTTTTAACCTTTCTGCGGTATTATTACAAAGCATTGACATTTTATCGTTCCGTCTAGTAAAATACTTACTTACCAACACATATCTATAGGGAGGTGGACCCGAGTGGCCCGCACCAATTTTCTATTACATTGCCCTGCAGTAACATGCTTATTTTACTCTAATGGATTAGAAAAAAATGATGAAAAGATTCGAACATTGATTCCCGAGATGAACGAACTATCTTCATATCTGGAATATAATGGAATGGGTTTATTTTGCTAGATATTTTACAAAAGAGATTGTTGCTATTGTGTATGTTTACTTTAGAGTCTACATAAAAGAATATTTCAAATAATTTAAAATTTTTAAATGAATTAAGGATATTTTGACATTGACCATAAGTCAACCTTTTGTGCTGAGCCAGTATCGCACTTCTATGGTTTTTTCGAATTTGAATGCAATAACCGCGGTTTCCGTCTGTTCGATTTGAATAAGTATTATTCTGTTTATTGAGACAAATAACTTTACTTTACAAACTACCTACTTCGTTTTTTTAAATACCTATTTGTATTCAGCTATGTAATAAAAATGCTAGAAACTTGAAACTAGCATTTCCATACCACTACTACAAATGCGAGAAATGGGGTGGTGGTTTGTCCTTGGCTTTTAATCCGCAGTACCTTGACCGCTTTTTGCCATTTCAGCGTCAACCATGACAATCTGCTAGGTTGAGGTTTTTGCCTACGCGTCCATTATCAGAGAGGACAGCTGTCATTTAACTGTACTTTCTTTCAGATTTTAATTCCACATACCTGTAACTTTGTCCGCTGTTATTAACTTTAGACACGTTGTGTAAAAGGTTATACACATCCATAATAATAGAATAGGTGACATCTAACAATAACAAATTAATTCATATGAGTCTTAAACTAAATTCCACCTACTATCTTTGCATGATTTTCATTATATAAGCTGTAACTTCTAGTTTAATGTTTTACTTTCGTGCCAACTAACCCATAAAAAACTGAAGCTCAAAAATACCCACGAAGTAGTTAGTAACCAATTTTAGTAATGAATCCAAGCACGCTAGATAAAAATATACACTCAGTTTATTAAAGGGAAGAGGGAAACTGTTAAACCTCGGTTCCTTAATAATCCTACTCTAAAACGATAAGTCTAGCAGATATATTTGTTCTACAAGACATCCTTTTATAGGTACATTTTCCTTGTTGCTAGTGTATTTTGATGAAGACAAATATACTTTTAGTAAGTACTTAGTTAATTCATTGCTGATAATTGGCAATTAAGAAACAAGTCTTTATTTCTAATCATAAGGAAAGTTGTGACCTTCCAATGAGACATCTACAGGGAAATGTCATTAAATCGTTTTCATTACTAAAAGAAGCTTGTGAATACATAATCTTACAAAAGAAACCTTTCTGTTGGAAGAAATATGCCATTAACTATCTACACATTATTAGGTATTTTACATTAGGGTCCAAACTGAAAGGGTTTATTATGTTCTTGCAATTTAGTCTAGTGAAATCGGCTAGTGAAATACAATGTGTATTTTCCGTTATATCACGGTCAAAATATTTTGTCACAGTATAATTTTGTAAGTTGGCGCGGACACACGACGCTGTGGTTTAACTAAGTACTTGAATTCGCGATTTTATTTAGGTTATATTGTAAATTAAGAGTTATTAAAGACTTGTGTGCGGTGCAATTTTGCGCGGTGACTTTAGACAAGGGTAGGTATAGTACTATAGTAGTGTTAACTAATACAATGGCTAATTGGCACCTACTCGATATTTGTAACAAAATAATGTTCTTTTTTATTTAATTATAAACATAGATGTTACATATTTTTCAGAAAGTAGGTACTGAAAGTAATTTCTTAAACACAGTCTTAGATGGATTGGCTACCTTATAACAAGATGTGTATTCGCATGATAGTAACCCACATTAACACATGTAGGTACCTTTTTTAATTTGGATTATGAAGGGGGACTTAAAAATGAGTGACGACACGAAGAAGCATATCGTCGGTCTAAGTTAGGGATGACAGTGTCCTATGACTTTTTTCTTATGAACTTTAACACATCTAGTGTTTTTAAACCCTGTCCTAACAAAAAATAAATAGTGGATGCATGTTAAATTTTTAATTTTCGTTATTTTACACAAGTGCGATATGTGCTGTGAGATACTTATCTCTAGCAACTGTTTAATACACACTTGTGGACTGAACAATTTTGTTGTAAAATCAAAATTGTGTACTTTAACGAATTAACTCCGGGAATAGAGTAGCATCCTACGGAGATCCCTCTGTTAATACAGCATTACTCGTAATAGAGATCTTTCAAACAAAAATAAACTTTAGTTACCTCGTTTCTTTATAAACATTTTAAAATAATACCGATAATAATAAAATGTTTAATCTAGGTGTAAGATGTTTAAGAAAGTAAAGGGTGTATCTACACCATATATTTCAACTAAACTTGTAACGTTACATATGTAAGTAGGAATTATCGCACATTTTCATGCAGTATAATAATAATAATCGTTTATTTTTCTCTCTCACACAGAATAGTTACAGTTTCCATCTTAAATTAGGTGTTATGTGTTTGGTGAATCTGTGTGAGAGACTGGCATCTGCACTAGGAGGACCTGTGCACTAGGAGGACCGATGTTTACCGACACATAAGTTTTCAGAAATAACACAAAGACATAATTGACAGCCAATAGCAACTTTTTCTATTATTACGATAACTGTGGCCTATGGGTGTAAAAAAGTAAAGCTTTTATGTTACCCGACGATTAAGTTCTGTCTAGCTAGTATCATCGTTATAACAATGTTTGAAACAACTGCCCTGAATAGTTTTACGGTTTATACTAACCTAGTATTTAAAAAGCACATGCACAATGCGGTGGTTGCCGACGTCATTTACTTTGCAGTAATATTTTTGCTACTAATGCGCCTGCACGGTTTATAAAGGAACACTTGAACAGGATATACAAAAATGCAGTGTATTACATGTTGCTTTCGTGATTTCGTTTTAAATTATTTGATCAGTGAACGTTTAAGTATAATAATACAGTATTGTTCTTTGGCTACTTAATGAAACAATAACATAGTGCAATATGGTCAGTATTATTTAAGAATATTAACAATAACATGACAATATTAATGTGTTTTAAATATTCGTGTTTTTCTTTGTGCATCAACACAAGAACGAATGAAAAACAAACTATTTTACTTGGTAAAGTTGGTAACATCAAGCTGCTGCCAAGTACGTTTGTGATTGTCAACAATGATATGTCAAAATGTTGCGTGTGTAGTGTCAAATTACGCGGTTAAAACTTTCTTTTATTTTAAAACTTTTTTCTTTAATTATAATCACTATGGGTTACTTAGTTTCTCTTCCAAAGTACATGTTGGCATATTTTAAAGTGAGTGTACAGCATCTATATTCTTAAATAAGTTTTTTTAATAACATCATATACTGTAGCAAATATAAATTATTTGTTTGTAGACACTAAGGCATTATGTGATTGCGTTCATTGCGTACCTATGTAGAGTTTCCCAAAGTATTATTTAACTTTTTCTTTCTCATTGTAGACTGTGTTAGAATCAGGGAGTGTGGGGAACGCATCGTCCTCTGATGAAGAATTGGAGCAGTGGGAGCAGATATTCATGATGAGAGACGAGAATGGAAATAGTTATAATGACAAGTAAGCACTTGAAATTAATTATGAAAACCTATGTTTATTTTCAAAACTATATAATTATGTGATTTTCATTCGAGGTAGGCTAACATTAAAAAATAGTTTTATGTCGATAAAAGATCGAATATTTATGTAAACTATCAACAAGAGAACAGAAATCGAGCTACATAAATTCATTTGTCAGTTAAGTCAACATTTTAGTAATGTAAAGGCTCTGTTGTTGATGTGTGTTTAACTGTTTTGTTTGAATTAGAGGTTATTCACAGCTTTCTAAATGAAACACATGTTCATTAATTACTTTTCATGTAAATCACTTAAAATAATCCATAAAAAAAATGTTATACATTATTGTCCCTTTATTTTGACATCATTTAATAATTTTCCCAATCAGAGTTTGTTGTTGAGTATTGAGTTGCATGTAAATTGTAGAGAAATGCTTTGGTTTTTATTTAAAACACCTGTAAAGGTTTTATAATTAATATTCATTATTTCTATTCACTTTTAATATGAGAACACTTGAGTCAATTAACTAGATAGGTTAAATGTATTTAAAGATGCTTATACAGATATATTTATTTTAATTGTTAAATATCCAATCATGGTATCACAATTATTAATTTCAGATTAAAAAAAATGAAGTCTATATTTTGAATAGTGGAATAGGTTTACAATAATATTTTTGAGTTTGAATATATGTATAAAGATATTTTTTTTAAATTCTTAATATAAGATTCTTTTTTAAAATAGGTTGACCTATTTTCTTAAAAGAGGAGCTAATTCTCAAATTACAGTATAATTAATTGAATTATTTTTTCTTGGCTAAATGGATGTAATATATTAGATTACATTTATAGTTACAACTATTCTAACTATTACAATTATTAAAGAAACTTATTTTTGCATCTGTTAAAAAAAATCTAGTGCAATAACCATTTACTAAACTTAATATTTATATTTTAGTATTAATAGTAAGTACATACTTTAATGTCTTTGTAGTACTAATGACTGAATGTATTTTTTTAAACAGAAGAAAGAAACGCAGTATATGGTGTCGTCCCTCATGCATTCCAGTGTCAATAGTTATAGTATTGATTGTGCTTGTTGTGTTGGTCCCGTTGCTCGACCAACCAAACTTAGTTGCAGAGAGCACTCCTAGTGTTCCCATATCTTTACATTGCTCAGATGAGTGTAGGTAAGTAGCAGAATGTAAATTTTGGTTAAAAACTGCCTTCCATACAAGCTTCAACTGATAAACAAACTGATAAATCATATAAGAATGACTGGTGAATATTGTGATTAATTACTATTTTTATTTTACAGGTTATCATTAGTCGAAAGTATACCAGAAGGTCACATGTACCCTCCTAATGTGACGCATTTGCCAACGAAAAATGTATGGCTGGATTTGATAGATGAAGCTCAAACTTCAATAGAAATTGCGTCATTCTATTGGAGTCTTAGATATAACGAAGAATATCCTTATAATTCCTCTATAGAGGTTGGTCACTTATAAATCATTTTGTGACTCAAAATTTTAATTAGTGTTTTAATGAATGGTCTGTTTTGTTTTAGGGAGAACAAGTATTCCAATCACTGTATGCTGCTGGGTCAAAAAGAAATATAAAGTTAAAAATTGCTCAAAATTGGCCCAGCAAAGGAAATCCCAATATAGATACAGAATATTTAGTTAAGAAAAAAGCTGCCCAGGTACTTGAACACTTTTGACATAGTTTAAAATAATAATTGTATCACTCTGTCACAACGATCTTAATACGCGCGTGCGACACCGTCGGTCAGGCTTAGTCTTTGTGTAATGTACCAAATATTACTAAATAACGGGCCTATTTATTGGCTAGTCACCCTGACTCCTAAGCTGGAGGTGTAGGTTCGATTCCCACCCAAAAATATTGTGTGATAACCAGACGGGTGTAATTTATCTACAGTATGTATGTATTTAGAAATATCTAAGTATGTTTATCAGCAGCCTGGTTACCATATCTCAGTCCTAGTTTGGGACCAGACTTCTGCTTGTGAGATGTATGAAGTTATTATTATTAATGTTTAGACTTTTATTTAGACACAGAAAAAAAATATTTGATCGTAAATTTACGACTTTATCTATAACATCAATCGATAACACCGACAACTGGTCTGTTAATGTTAATTATTCAACAATTTAGAACTGTCCACTTTCCTTGAATTGATATCTCGTCTGCCTATACCAATAATATTTTCATGTGTTTCCAATTCTGGAGTCTACACAAGTACCTACATGTGTAAACCAATTATACTTATTTTACAATCCAATAGGTAAGAAGTCTCAACTTCTCGAAGTGGTTCGGCAGTGGTGTGCTGCATACGAAGTTTTGGATTGTTGACAGACAACACTTTTACATTGGCAGTGCCAACATGGACTGGAGGTCACTTACACAGGTCCGATAACTTACTTATTTATAAAGTACATTATGGTTTGTGTAGATGTGGGAGTCATTATGCTACCTGTTCTATATATTCGTACCAATATATCCTACTAGCTAATAGAGATAGGTAGTTGTTTATTTTTTCATCTTTCGGGACCGGGATACTAGAAAATTTTATATCCATCCTGGATATACAATAGCACATCTATGCATACATTCACTGTCTATCACTAGTATTTCAGAAGTATTTTACTATATGGAACGGGCGATTAAATGCTGTCGAAAATATGTTTTAAATTGTAAGTGATAAGTCTCAATTCAAATTGTATTTGCATGTTATAAATTATGTGTTAATAATAACAATTGTTCGCAGGTGAAAGAGTTAGGCATAGTGGCTCTGAACTGTTCTTGCCTCGCTACAGACTTGGGGAAAATATTTGATGTGAGTTTCTTAATATATTTTCTTACAATAAGTGTTACTTTAACCCTAAATATTATTATAAGGTCACACAAATAGTAACAGTAGTTTATATAGATACAATTGACGTTTTAGGTGTGCGTAACGTGTTGGTATTGGTGTAGTGTAGAATGTTCTTACACCCACCACCCCTATTCATCCCGTGGGTGTCGTAAGAGGTGACTAAGGGAGCAAACTGCGCAGAACAACAGCACTACAGAGAGAAGGAAAACTTGGCAAACCCTATACCAACCCGTCTGGCTAGCGTGGTGTAGTAGGCCAAAACCTCCTTTCTAAGGCCCATGTCCAGCAGTGGACTAGTAAAGGCTGTTGATGATGATGATGATGAATTTTTATTTACTACTCTAATTTAATTTTCTCTAAAACTTATATCTCCTAAAATGTACATGTTACGCTACTTTGTGGACCAATTAAAATGTTATTACCCTTACCGAGTGCTTTACATACATCTGCAAAGTGAGAGCTTTTATTTTATAATTAGCACCAAGGCGTCTTTGCCAAGTTGACGTGTTAATATTTCACAGCTAAATATTACACCACTGTATGTAAATAATCTCTGGTATTTTTCTTACTGACACATATTGCTTTGGAAATAAATGTGCCGAAACATTTTGGATATTGACTGTAAAATAATAGAGTTCAAATTTGGAGTCCTAGTAATGTTTAAGAGGTTCGTGTGTTATGCGTTTGAAGTTCTCTGAAACATATTTTACTTCCACGTACACATACGTGTACATAACATTAATGAGATGCTTTGAAGGTAGATTGTGTAATTATTCAATCTAAGATTAATATCGAGAATGTCAAAGTTTAGTAGCAGATGCTTAATAGAGCTGCAGTAGACATGCGCTATATGTCGTGAGACTGATTTTTTGCGGGTCTTGTGTAAGTTTATTTCACATCAGCTCGATCGTCAGGGTGACCGCATTCGGCGTTGCATTGAAATCTTCACAAATCGCAACGCCGAACGCGCTCGCAGTCGATAGCGAATTGATGCGAAATAAAGTCTAACAAGGTCCACTGAACTTTTCACTAATCGCAACGCCGAAAGCGGTCACGGTGACCATAAATATGAAATAAACTCATAAAATATGAAATAAATAAAACTTTTTATTCTCGCTATTAATGTACTGTACATTAATAGCGACAATAGTATTATAATAAAAATAAACCAGCAATAAAATACGAAGGCAGTTACAGTTTATACTTAACGTGTACCTACGTCTTTGTAGATTATATATCAATTATTTTCCATGCTGCTGCGCTGATATCCATGAAATAGACAATTGTGAATGAATCGACATTCGAGGAAAGTTACCGCCAATGTAACAGTGCCTTTGTCGTAGCCGAGCGTCATTGCCAAGCGCAAGGCCGAACTTTGCTTGGAATCAACCACTGTTATATATATAACAACCACTGTTATATTTAGTACAACTAATGAATGCTTCATTAACTATATACTTACACGATACAGTGTAGACCAACGGTTTCATTGAAAGGCTAATTGAATGTAAACACATGTGTACTATTGCTTTAAAAATGTCATAAAAAGTTGAATTTTGATTACTTGTACCATTATAACCAAGTGTCTTCAGAACGGGGTTTTAATATCCGTGTAAGTACTAAAACACCTTGTTAGTAGTCATATTTAGTTCTTAATAGTACTTGAATTGTACCTAACTATGAAAACTTAAAAGTAAATTTAAGTTTCTTTCTTAAATTAATCTACAGTACTCTACAGTAAATTTATTAAAACTGCTTCAAAAAGTTAATATTAAGTAAAAAAAAAGGTAAATTAAGTAATTAAATAAATAAAAAAGTTTTAAATATGATAAAGGAAATGTAAAGTAGGTTTTGTTTTTATTTTTCCTTAGTCTGCTCTTTCATTTTTCTCCTATCACCTACGACATTATTTACTGTGGTTGGATTTGTTGAAAATGCAACCAATCCAGCTGGCGTTAAGAGATTCCGTGCGCGGAGTGAAAATATACATAAAATATATCATATCATCATTCTAAGTGTGACATTTCGTAACTGCTACTTTTGGTAAAATCAGATTTTGGTGGCTGGTTGTACCGAGGCTGAGGATCCTTTTTGCAAAAGGGCATAACGCCCGTTAATATTGTTAGGTAATAGTATCCTCGCTTAATATACGAATCTGCCATCTACAAAAATTCATTGCTCTTTTTTTGTTAGTTTAAATGTTAAATAAAGACCGTTTGCTATAAAAATTGTCGTCATAAAGATACATAAAGTTTGACAATTACTCGGCGATGCAAGTAATTGTCGAACTTGTCAGTTAAATAGCGACTAGCACTGGCTAGCACGACTCACCACAACTCCGACGTCATAAACTTTGCGACGTTAAATTTATACTGACAAGCGTTCTACAATTAATGGGTACTTAAATGTTTGAAAGGTCGAAGGGTGAAAAAAAAGATAAAAGGCTGCATTGTTATTGGAATCGGGTTTTAAGAAAAATAACTTTGCCTTGGAACTTAGGAACTTTCAAGACAAAGTAGTATTGTAGGGTATTTCTCACTTGCAAAAAAAAGAATATTGTGATTTTAGTTCCATTGCCCAGTATTAGATGGTGTTGTCCCTCCCTCGTTAAATCACGTTACGCTTCGCCTGTATACACTATACTCAATGGATTCATAAGATTTGAAACATGTTCTTCATTATAATCAGCTGGAATTTGTTTCTCTCTTTATTCGTAGTCGGTTGTCATTGGTTTTTTTTCTCTTTCTCGCTAGTTAATTTGGCTATCATAGTATGAAAATGTACTCAAATATTTTGAATAATAAGAACTTTATAGAGGATGGCACCGTGTTTTTAGTCTAAGATACTTGCATCGTTTCGGCCGAAAGAGTTCTTCACCTGGAGCTGACTCAGACGTGTCTTACTTACAAACTAAATATGACTGAAAAATTGGGATTGTACAAATATGGTTATATTTTAATAATATAAGTATCTATAGCTAAATTGAAAAGGATACAGAGCTTTACATCACTCACTCGTTACACGACAAGATTTAGAAATAATTGGACTTAAATCGATCCAGTTACGAATACTGTAATACTGTAAAAGGGTAGGAACTTCCAAATTAAAAGGTGTCGTTCGTTTGTCGTTAACGAAGACTACCTCCGTGATGACATTGCAGTATATAAATTAATATATTACACTGGTAATCAATGTTTATTACAAGGGCTTACTTCTACTTGTGGTGGCACTCAAATAGATAATATTTTTTCTAATTCCCTTGTGAAGTTGGATTTTATAACTCTATCTTCAGTTACCATCGTCCAATGTAGATGTCCGTTATAGCCATGAAACCAACCGAATCCTCCAATACGGAATCCGGCACTGCTCGTGGTTCGACCCGCACTTAGCGGGTTCATTTACACCTATTTATATTGATTGAAATTGTGTATTTGGTGCATAAATAAATCGAATAAATTAATTACTTAAGTCGTCAGAATAGTACTATAAAGCGAAAGTCAAAACTCAATGTTGCGTTTTCGTCTGAAAATGTTAAATATTGGTTATAAATTATTTATAACAATTTGTCTTCTCTCTATATATTTTCAACTATATTATATCTATATTTTGATCATCTCCTAAAGGTGTATTGGAGTTTGGGTGTCCCAGACGCGACGGTACCGGACGTATGGCCAGAAGAGTTGAACACTGACATCAACTACCAGCATCCCATCAATATATCCGACGGACAAAATAACTACGGCGCGTTTATCACTGTAAGTAACAATTATTAAAATACATATCTACATCTATGGTATCATAGACAAAAAAGCTGTTACGTCATAACGTTATAAGTGGGTGTCGTAAGAGCCGATCAAGAGAGCAAACTACGCAGGACAACAGAACTCCAAAGAGAAGAAAAACTGGAAACAAACCTTATACCCACCCGTCTGGCCAGCGTGGTATAGTAGGCTAAAACCTTTAATGATGATGATATTATAAGTCGTTGTAATAAAAGAATCTTCGCCCAAGCTCTATTCACCGTAATACGTGGATTAGACAGGTTGGCGTATACGATCATCATGTCATCAACATATATTTAAAATTCGTAGTGAAATGAAACCGTTTCATTTATTTTTGTATGTAAAACATACATTGCTTAAATTTAAGCTTTAATTATTCCAAATTTCACTCCTCCATTGACAAAAATGGCTTAAAATTGTAATGTTCACCCATTTAGAATGTTAAAAAATTGGTATTGATAAAACTCGAGACAATGGGTGTTTAACCAACTTGTCTCGACGAAGACTTAAGGCACAATTGAAATTCGAAAGACGTATTCAAGAAAAAGGCTTAAGTGTAGGATTTCTAATCTCTTCTCCACAATCCTTTTTTGTACCTCACGGTTTATTTCACTCAATTGACATTGCTAAATATTTCATTAAAACATCAGTCGTTCTTATTACATTCGCACGGTTTAGTGTACCCATTTAAAGAAGTAAGACATACATTACGGCGATTCATTTTTATTTATATGTATACAAAGATAAATTAGGTAGGCATAATACATTCGTGTCTGTCAAACCATGGAAATACACATTAGTTTAGTAGTTGAAATACCGACAGCAGCGCCTACCGGGTCCAATTGTATTTTTAAATCATCCAGGAAACCATCGAAATACCCATATAAAATTTCAACCTAATAGATTCAGCCGTTTAGAAGTTATTTGAAAAAGATAAGTACGAAAGGATAATTCTTACTACCCGTTGTCCTATTACCTGTTTTCCCGTTAGAATGAAGCATTTTCCTGCGCTAAAAACTAGCCTATGTTCATCAGGGATAATGTCGGCTTCTAATGGTAAAAGAATTTTTCAAATCGGTCCAGTGCTTTCGGAGCCTATTCAATACAAACAAACAATCAAATGTTTCCTCTTTATAATATTAGTGTAGATATCCTTAAAAAGCATTTGCTTAGATTAGATTCACTCTATATACTACTTCTCTATAAGGTACCGTATTAGATGACGACAAATTAGATTGCACCGAAGTGTATGATTGGGTTGGAGTTAGGTAAGTCGTTACCATCTACTATCTCTACTCAATATCTTGTTACCGATATCAGAAGTAGAAAGAACGGGCGACTGTGAAATAATTTGCTTTATGAGGAATTAGAATTATCAACAAAAAAAAATGATAGAGCTTTGTTTAATTGTGACCTTTGATCTATTTATTATTACAAGCATTGCATAATATGATCAGAATATTTTTATTCATTTAAAAAGACAACTCCCGCACTAGGAATAAGTCCTGTGTCGCGGGGGACTCATGAAACGGACACAAAGAACACCCAGACTCAGAACAACTGAGGTGTGACTGCCTAAACCACTACGACATCCGTGCAGTCAATCTACACGATTGTTGACGAAATACTGAGTTTCATGATTCAGTCAAGTTGTTATTTTTTGTTTTCGAATGAAAGGAATAAAACTATACCTTTTTAAAAACTAAATTAAAAACAGATTTCTGCTCTAATTTACAGCGATGTAATTGTAATATTGTATTTTTTTATAAGCAGGATTGTTAGAACAAAGTCCAATGTTGGCAACATATGAGTGATACTGATACTGATGTACTTACAAGTAATATTGCTGGCTTCGGTGACATTACGTACAAGCAGCCGACCAGCATATTTACGAAATTAGTTCTGTACAAAAGAAAACATTCAAAAAGCTTTCTAGATATCCTATCCTAATACACTTAACTGGATGCCAACTAGTCTTCATGGTTTTTACCTTTAAAACGTGTCTTCTAATGAAACATAAAACGGGTTGTTAAAAAGATCGTAACGCTTTATACGTCGTAAAAGCTAGACCGAAATGTGGTTGAACGTTTGAAATTGCCGATATTGCTATTGGTGTTCCATTTAACGCTTTCCCGCCCATCCGGTAACCTTGATGGCTGTCGGTGTTTGAATGAAGGGACCTATATCCAAGCCAAACAAAAAGTGCTTTTAAATTGTTGTCAAATGGATGCTTTGTTTAAGCTTTAGTTTGACATCCGACCTCGTTAATATAAATCGAGTGCTGTTAAAATATCGTGTATTTATTGTGTTGATGAACTATCACCACAACGTATTTATTGCGATGTGATTGTCGTAAATTCGCAGTAAAATCACAGTCTAACTTAACAAATTTGGGATGCTTGATTCCGCTTAAAAATTCTTGTAGTCAGTGTTAATCTCGGTAATATTTTGCTGTTTAGTTTATTAGTAATAAATATTGTCTTTGTCATCTTTGGTCATTCGTTCCGGTTTCACAAACTCTTGAACTGTGACTTTCCTAATCAGAACAAAATATGAGTATGTGATTTGCTGGTTAAAATTCAATATCTTTTACTAATGCCTGGCTACTCACTAATTTGTTTACTTTTAAATAATTTATATATATATATATATATATATATATATAAACAAAAACAAACATTTATTTAGTCAGGTAATAAGAACCAGGTCCCTATAAGACTTAAGACCTCAGTAGAACTGTTTTTTTAAGCTGTCAGATAGGTCTATGGAAAGGGTAAAACGTTGACAATGTGGACGTGCAACATCAGTATTCAAGCGTTTAACAACAAAATACAGTCCAAATCATCGAGATATAAGTACTACGTAGTACTTATACCTCGATGGTCCAAATTGTTTTTCTTTCATTGATCAAAGATTAAACCCGTTCCAACCGCCGCACAATTTCGACATCAATTCTACACCATGAAATCTAAATTGAATCACAAAATTTATTCGACGATGTAAAATATTATGAGTACTTAACATATCCAACCATTTCTGTGGGTCGGTCAAGGTCATGTTTAAGCTTTTTATGGGTTTTAGCACTACTATAGTGTTGCGACGATGTTCACGAAAGCAAACGTGCTTTATTAGAATATAGCTCAGATTTGTTCCTGACCTTACCTTATTACGTGTACACACTATTAAAACTTTGTAGTTTATGTGTTGTCGTTTGACACGTCATATCGTAGTTTTTAGGTAGTCATTAGTAATTTATTATTTATAGTACACGCACACGCATACCATTGGAAGATATTTATCAAAAATGTTAAAAACACATTTGTTGATTGGACTCTTATTCATTTTAAATTCTTATTGTTATAATTCAATTAAATGCCTTCCTATTCAGCCCAGCCCTCTACACCGATGAACGAACAGCAGAGGCATTTTAAAAAGGTTCCTTTTTCACCCTTTGGGTGCGTAACTCTAGAAAGGATATTATTTCGTGTTTTATAAATTTATACTTACTATGTGCCTCTAACTCAATTATCTCAATAACTCTCTCAATTATTATCATTGTCTTCCAGCCTTTGTCCCAGTTTTCTTTGTGTGTGTAATATTGCTACTGTGTTTTTGTTTTGAAAACTGAAAAAGAACTCAGTGAAGAACTCTAAAGTAGGTATATTGGCTTTCTCACACGAGGGTAATCAAATAAAAGTTGAAATATAACGTAATTTCGAGTAACATACTCATGGAGTACAAACATACATACACAGATAGAGAACAAAGTTAAAAATTTGTTAAGTGTGTTATCAGGTCTTGTTGTTTGTTTAACAATAATAAACTTGTAAATTCATAAAAGGGTAAACATAGACCGTTAATTAACTTCAGCTTACTGTTTACCATTTCTATATCAGGTTTCTTTGCATTACTGCCATGAATAAGTCAAAGGGAATTCAAAGGGTGTTGTTGATAAATTTTCTTAGTAAACAAATTTATTTATATTGCTACTTATGTATTCTAGCGATTAAATGACTAAACAGAATTGCCCTACATAGAATTACGCTACATAGAATTACACTACATAGAACTGCCCAATCAAAAGGATGACAAATCAAATGTTCGTGACAGAGTATCTACGTTATAAACTTAATCGGCTATTTTTATGAGAAAAGCTTGCGTGACGTTACTACCTAGTGTATATTAAATTGCTCTAGGAAAGGCACATGACATGCCTCGGCAAAGAATGCATACATATACACGAGTTTACGGTGCATTGGCTTTCGATAAAAATGGTTATATTTGAAAGTGTTTAAGGTAACTTAAACTAAAATTTTCACAGTATATTCTTAAGTAAAAAAATATATACGAGGGCGGGTCAATAAGTTCGTGACTTTTGGAATAAAACACAGATTTTTTGATAAATAAATCATTTTATTTTTCAACGTAGTCTCCCTTGAGCTTTATACACTTTATCCAACGCTTCTCCAATTTTTTTATCCCTTCCAAAAAATATGATTTGTCGAGGTCCTCAGAATAGGCTTTTGTTTGCGAGATGACTTCATCATTGGAGTCAAATCTTTTTCCACCAAGCCATTTCTTCAGGTTTGGGAACAAGAAGTAGTCACTCGGAGCCAAATCTGGAGAATAGGACGGATGAGGGAGCAATTCATAGCCCAATTCATGGATTTTTGCCATGGCAACTGCACATGTGTGCACATGTGTGAACTTTTTTCTTGGCCAAATGAGGTCGGTTTTTTTTCAAATCGTCATTGAATCGGTCCAATAAGTTGGCATAATATTCCCCATTGATTGTTCTTCCCTTTTGAAGGTAGTCAATGTGGATTATCCCGCGTGCATCCAAAAAGACAGTAGCCATAACTTTATTGGCTGACAAACCCACCTTGGCCTTCTTTGGCGCCGATTCACCCTTAGAAACCCACTGTTTTGACTGTTGTTTGGTCTCTGGTGTGTTGTGATGGATCCATGTTTCGTCCACGGTTACAAAACGGCGCAAAAACCTTTCCATATTGCGATTAAACAACGCCAAACCTTCCTGTGAAGTTGTTACACGATTGCGTTTGTGGTCGACTGTGAGCAATCGCGGTACCCATCTTGCGGAAAGCTTTCTCATGCCCAAGTGATCATTCATAATTGAAATCACTGAACCATGCGAGATCCCTACGGCTTCCACAATCTCTTGCACTTTCAATCTTCGGTCGGCCAACACCATATCGTGAATTTTTTTTCGGGTGAAGAGACCTTAACTGGGCGTCCAGGACGTTTGGCATCTTCAGTGCTTGTTACGGTCACAACGAAATTCAGTAAACCACTTTTTTACCATTGAAATCAATGGTGCAGAGTCCCCATAGTATTTATCAAGCTTAGCCCCAAGGCCAATCTCGGTAATGGTTTTTTTTTCGCAAAAAATAATGCTTAATAAGCACACGAAATTCACTTTTTTCCATTTTTTCCTCAAATTACTGGGTAGTCTGATAAAGATAACTGTCAAACACAAACTAACTGACGCAGCAAGTTCAAATTTTGACAGGAGTCAACTGACAGATGCTTGTTGACAGGAGTAGTGTTGCTTTTTCAGTAAAGAGGTCAGAAATTCAAAAAGTCACGGACTTATTGACCCGCCCTCGTAATTCTACTTTTAAATTAAGCAAATAAAAAAAATCGTTTTTTTTTAACCCGAGTTACCAGACTACTGCTACCTTAATAACTATTTAACTTGTGACGACTTGTGACTTTGGAAAGTTGGAGGCTTTGGACTGTAATCTGTCAATGGAATGGAATTTTTAGTTCCTAATTTGAGCGTTTAATAGAACCATAGAAACAATCATACTAGACCCATTTTTTCTACTCGCACTAATATCTAGACAAATAAACAAAACAAATGGCTTGTAAGTGTTTGCAGCTATACCGTAAAAATCAAAGGTGTATTATTAGTGTCAGTTCATCAATGCGTAAGTATTGGGTATATTATGTACCTTGATTTCGATTTGCGCAAGATGGCTTGCAGGAGCTGGATGCGAGAAGCCCAAAATCGATCTAAGTGGCGTGCAATGCAAGAGGCCTATGTACAGGAGTGGACTACGATAGGCTGATGATGATGATGTACCTTGACTACAAAAGTTTGATGTTAATTAAGCGGGTGTGTTGCACATTATTGTTTGGCATAAAAATGTCAACCGATACAAGTAACACAGTTTTAAAGGGCTACCTCTAATTATTACATTAATTATTATACTATGAATAGACTATGTACGTCACAGTATTCGTGCATATACATTGCAATCTGCGAGGTGACAGTATGTTTAAAAATTAGCAATAACTATTTAATTAAATAGATCTATCGATAAAAAACCTAAAATAATATAAATGATGGAAAGATAATTGCTAGTTTATTTTTTTTTCCATAAAGCAGTCATGTTCTTTAAAAAAAAAGTTGACCCGACTTCAAAGAGCACTAAAAATTAAAAAAAAAATACAAATCTAATTGAAAAAATTATAATAAGTACGACCCTCAATGTAACAGGAAAGATTAAATAATAGCAATCGATTAGTTTCTAGTCTGTTTGAAAGTAGGTACTAAAGTGTACCAACTATATAATAACTACGAGAGCCGAATGAACTGCATTTCCTGTACGAATATTTCGTTACATTATGCACGAAAATATCGAGTCAAAGTCACTGTTCACAATTAATTCGACATCGCAATATTATAGCTATCGAAAATATTAATTTTGACAATGATTTTCAGTTTATTAGGCTTTTTTATTGTGTATTATGATTTTTAACCGACCGCAAAAAAGAGGAGATATTTATTTGTTTCCCTATACTTTTTTAATTAACTTATTTTGGCGATCTTTATATTCATGACATTAGTATTATCGAAAAATGAAACGATGATGTTTCTTATAAAAAATCTATAAAAGTCTAAAAAGAAATAGCATACAGACGATGGTCCCTCGACGGATCACCATAGTTCACCACAACCAAACAATAAATTAGTTCTACAAATTTTTTACTAAGAGTAATCATTAATAGCAGTTGTAAATTTTAAATAGGTTATGAAATATGGATGCCAGTCAGTCACTACTGAGGGACTACCTTTGACCTATTGTAACTTTTGAATGGCTATTATATACCTATTCGTGTCGTAATATTTTAATTGTGTTATAAAAACTATACTTGAAACAAAAGCAAAAAGACATAAATGTAACACTAATAATGACTTCATTAATAATAGTAGGCTAAAACCTCCTTTCTAAAGAACGGCCCATGTCCATCAGTGGACTATTAAAGGCTGATGATGACGGATACTAACTTCACAGGTCTGACCTACGGCTTTCTGATCCCAAACTAGGCAGAGCCTTAGCTATGGTAACTAGACTAATATAATATTACTATGTAATATGTGTATATTTCACATAAGTTAAGCATTATAGTAATATTTGAACTTTAAATTGTTATTTTTATACTTCATTTGCTATCATCATTTGTCATATTGGTAAATATTATACAATACAGCAAGGCGTAAGTGCGGGTTGAGCTCACGCTTGAAACACTTCATTGTTTAACAGCTAAATCAATTACATACGAAAGCTAACATACTTATGCTGTAATAGCCTACAAAACTTAAATAGTAATACTTGGCAATAGTTGCAACCAGAATATATTCTATGCACAATAATCGAAAATTGGTAACGCTTTGCTCACCATGAGACCGTCGCGTGGGTTCGTCTTGCGCCATTGTCGAAGATTAAAAAAGGAAAGGTGAGAAATAATGAGTGTTGAGTTTTACAAAATAAACAATAGATTTTTTATTAATATTAATTTCAATAGGTAACCGCAGAATAAATTCTGAAACTGAATCTTTAATTATTTTTTTTAAACTTAATACGCATCAAATAACAGCGGCCATACGTTGGTATTTTTAATTATTTTTAATTATAAATTATAAATATATATATTGGTAATTGAATAATATCAGTAAGTACTTATACTATAAAAAATAATTAGGCTTATCTTGTTCTGTTCACATGGATACGATTAGGAATATAAAGTTTATAATTATGTTAAAAACTGATTTCATTGGTTTATTATTTAAAACCTTATCAACTAATTATTATAACTCAACTACTGTTACCACTAATGTGACATAAGCCTACTCGTACAATAACACGCAGCTATCGATGCGTATGGCTCTTTGCAATCCGTGACCCATGCTTTCTCTTTACTTATCGAAATCATAGATCGACCATGCTTCTCCTTAAATACGGAGAATCGACAAAAGAAGGTCTCCTAATCGGAGATAATATGTAACAAAGAACATCCCTGAAAATGTTTGTTCAGAAATGATATATAGAATAAGAAATTAAACGCTGTTAAATTTCTACGTGTCTAACATAGAGATTCAACTATCTTACAAAAGATGAAAGGTTTTGTTCAAACTTGAAAAACTGTTTTATTCAGTTGTAACCAAGTAATGTCAGTAGAACTCACAAGAGGCCCAAATTACAACTTATGTACAAGGAGCACGCCTTTGCGCTCAGTGAAATACAGCTTCAGGAGTTTTCTTTCTCCTTCCTTAACCTTTCTGTGCAGGACAAAATGACTTTGTAAATCGTTGGATGTGTTTTGTTGCAGAGTTCTCCACCTGCACTGAGTCCTGTCGGCCGTACAGACGATGGCACCGCTATCGTCAACATAATAAACGACGCCGAGGAGTTTGTGTACATCTCCGTTATGGATTACGAGCCCATGTGCACTTTCACACACAAAATGACGTAAGTATCTACCTTATTGCAATAAGAATAGTATTCCATCTTATCTAAATTGTTATAAGGAGATTATTAACTATAATTAAAATGGACGGAAAAGTGGCTTTTTTTTGAAGATTTGAGATCAGTGAAAGTTTGTCACTTTTAAATATTTCTTTAAATTGTTAGAATTATTCGAAGATGATGATGATATTAGAATTATTCGACATGTTAAACTATATCAATGAAGCTAATATTTCATTAGAAAACAGTCAACTTAAATGAAATAAGAGTGTTGACGAAGAATGTCTTAACGGCAGAATAAAACCAAGGTCAAAAAATTACATGCAAATTGACATGTTGATAAGAAATACATGTACGGGTTTTTTCTGAACTTAGTTTTTCAAATTATCCCAAGTAGTTTTCCCACACATATAACGTTTCTAAAATATGACACGTGGTAGAACTCTATAACCTATACAAATAAAAAAAATTGAAGTGTCTGTTTGTAATGTCAAAATAATAAGTTTTTTATGCTTACACGGTTATTTGCACGATACCTATGCTTAATAACCAGTTTACATATTTTTTGTCCGACTGACTGTCTGTCTGTCTATTTGTTCCGGGTAATCTTCAAAACGACTGGACTGATTAGATAATATTTTACTACCAAGTAGCTATCTATATAAGGAGTAACTTAGGCTAATTTTTCTCTCAGAAAAAAATTGCCTGGTCCGAGAATCGAACTCACTAAGGCAGCGCTATTCAAATTCCACACGAACGAAGTCGCGGGCACCAGCTAGTCTATACAAATAAATAAAATTGGAGTGTCTGTTTGTAATATTAAAATAACCGCTTTTTACTAAATGCATATGTATGTTTACACGGTACATATGCCAAAATAACATTTTTTTACAATTTTTGTCTGTCGGTCTGTCTGTGTGTTCCGGGTAATCTCTGGAACGGCTGGACCGAATTTCGACGGGACTTTCATTGGCAGATAGCTGATGACATAAGGAGTAACTTAGGCTACTTTTTTTAGACTAGCTTCGCCCCGCGGTTATAACAACAAACGCGGATAACACCGCGGGTCTCAGCTAGTTAATAATATAATTGATAGAGTTTACAATCCCGGTATCCCAGGTTTTTTATTTGCACAAACCTTCTGCCTATTACCAGCTGTTGCTGTGACAGAAGTACGTTAACAATATTGCAATGTTCTCATTATGTCATATTATTTGCAAAGGAGCCTTTTGAGCGCTCTCCTGTATACTATTTTTTTAATGTGATTCGCTCTAGCGCTCTATTAGGATAACATAAACCTGGCTAACTAAAACTATTAGTATCGTACTGTAACGAAACTTGATTTTCTCCATATCTTGATGTTCAACTTTTTAGTCGTCTTATTTAGTTATTTTACGTTATCATTATGTTTACAGATTCTGGCCAAATATCGACGACGCGCTTAGAAAAGCAGCACTAGAAAACAAAGTTAAGGTGAAACTGCTTATAAGTTGGTGGAAACACTCATCGCCGGCTGAAGATCACTTCCTGAGGTCACTCGCCGATCTGTCAGAGTCGTATCCAAGAGTTGACATACAAGTGGTTAGTGTTTTGTCCAATACTTTTGTACTACACAATATTTTCCTACAGCAAAAGTTTACAGTCTAAACTTAAAATATGTTTGCGTAAGTCAACTCAATCGATGGATCCCGACTACCGATTATTTGTTCTGTATGTGGGTATAATTAATCTATGAAATAAATGTATTTATCACTAGGTTTATGAGTAGCCTGGTTGCCATAGTGCATGCTCTGCCTAGTTTGGTATCTGACGGCCGTTTGAAATGTATAATAATATATTCTAAAGAAACTTAGTTTATAAATCGAAAATAGGTTAAGGGAAAATTCGAAAAAATATACAAGTAATTAGAAAATAAAAAAATATTCATTTTGACTTTTGTTAATTCTAATAATTGGTTTACAGAAACGTTTCATAGTCCCATCGACGCCAGACCAAGACAAGATCCCGTACGCGCGAGTTAACCACAACAAGTACATGGTCACCGACCACACAGCTTATATCGGCACCTCGAATTGGTCCGGGGACTACTTCACCACAACCGCCGGAGTGGCTTTCGTGTTCGAAGATCATCTTCGATACGAGGGAAGCTTCCAAAATCTCACGCGAGACATTAGGAAAGATCTCCAAGAAGTATTCGAAAGGGATTGGAATTCGCCGTACGCCGTACCGCTGAGGCGGTTATAGCGAATAGTTTAGTAGCCATTCTAAATCTTCCTCTTTTAAACACTTATATACGTGGCAAGTTACCTTACTAGTGCAATATCTTAGATGACAATTTTTTTCAAAGGCATTTAGTTATAAGTAGGTACCTTAGTACCTTAAAAAATAAAACCTTGACAAAAACATGCGAGTTATTTGTAAAATAAGTATTTATAACTGATCTCGATCGCATTTGCTGATTTATATTTTATCGTTTATGACCACTATAGACCAATTTATGTCGATAAAACAGTACTTTCAGGATTCAACCAAACATTCTATAAGGATATTCATCATCACCCATACGGATAGTAAAACCTTTCTGTTCTATCACTTCATACATTGTACACCTCAGTACTATTCTCTAACTATCTAATCAGAGTTGCTAGATCTTTAAATGTAAATACCTACTACTGCATAAACTGTCGAATTTTCAATCGCTTCTTCTAATAGACAAAACAGTTTACGTTTATATATCTGGAGACTTAGTGGATCCACATCTAGAGATCAGGATCCAATGAGAAAAAAATCGTCATTAGATCTTTAATGGATCTGGCCAATGGATCTTCTGAGATTAAACCAAATTTTTAATGTTGTAAACCTTGACGTACTCGTAGCAGGCGGAGGTTATTAAAGTGACAGCCACAAGCTAAATATTCTGTTATCTAACGCCTTGCATCTTTTAACTTCGGTGAATAGACGACAGAACGTCGCGTCAAGTGTAGAGGAGACCCATCTTTTGTTCTGTCTGGGTGTAATTTATCTATAACTAGCTTTTACCAGTGGCTCCGCCTGCGTAAGCGGATACTGATTTCCCATACAAACTTCCACCCCCCTTTTCACCTCCTTAAAGAATGATTTCTGGGATAAAAACTATCCGATGTCCTTTCCCGGGACTCGGAATATCTCTATACCAAATTTCATATAAATTAGTTCAGCGGTTTAAGCATGAAGAGGTAACAAACAGATAGACAGACACAATTTCGCATGTATAATATTAGTAAGGATAATATAGTTAAAAATATATAAGTAAGTTAATCAGCAGTTTGGTTCCCATAGTCTAGTTGAGAATCACATGTGTGATGTTATATTTATTCTTATTATAAAGTAAATAGTAAACGCGATCGAGGCAAGTTGGTCATTTTAATACTGGTAATTACTATTGTAATCAACTATTTAGAAATTTATTAGTTAGATACGTGAAGTATTAATAAAATTAACGAAAATTGTGCAACAATGTGTGCCTTTCTTATGACGAGAGTATGATATTCTTCGAGTGACTGTAAAGTAGATTTTTATATCTTTTAGAATTAACATTTGCCATAATGGAAAACTTATTTCGAAAAATATAATTGCGTGTGGTGTGTACCTTCGAGTTTTTATAAGTATTGCTTTGAGGACTTAATATATTCTTGTACTTATAATTAAAAAAAAAACATTTATCTAGTCTCAAAATCTTTTTTTTTAGTTAAAGTTATTTAATACGACCAAAGGCTATAATTATTCTTGTAGCTGCGATATGTAAAATCTTAGAATCATTGATGTTCTATTCATACAGTAGACTATGCTATTTATTATCTATAAACAGCGTTCTAATGTACTCCATTATAATCGCATCAAAAACTAAATGTTATACTTGTTAATCCAATATATTTATATATGATATTGAATAACATAAAAGTACTGTAAACTGTATTTTAGTAGACAAATAAATTCATAAAGCAATACATATCAGTACTATCTTGCCTAAAAAGGTTATGAACCTATTCAGGTGATTATTATTTAAAAAGCGCAAAAATACTATGTTATGTTACAAATGCTGTTGCGATATTTCTAATAAAATAAGCAATCTTATTTAGTGTTATGTGAAATAATAATAAACAAATTATAATAGAATCAACTTTTTCTTTCCTTTGAAGGGCATCTAAAGAAATAGTATATATGATATCATTTTTAAATACTGAGAGATTATGATTTGCCATTACTTAAATATAAACATTATAAAATATAAGCGAAGGTTCAATCTCGCACACACAAATGTATAATGGAAAGAGAGATTTCCTTTTGTATAGTGACCATGTCTACATGGAACACTATCACACTATGACTAGTGTGGTAGTTGTCTTATCAACTTCCATTATGTAATAACCTTTTATAACTTCTCTTTGGATCCCCTTGGGGACCTTAAGCAGATCCCCTTAGGAATAGACCGGTAGATTTCAACTGGCTAGTGATAGTCTCATGGGGTATCGTTTCTATCAAAACATTGAGTCATCATTTTTTGGTCCAGTAGTTCGTATTGATCAGACATCATCAACACATTTTACAGTTATATACAGAACATACGCCGTGAATCACACTTCTTAGATTGTGGGAAATGGCTTCCGGTTCGTCCAAGCAGCTTTTACGTGAAGATTCACTTCCCAGAACTACCCAACTACCCAAAGGTTCGGTTGGGTAGTTTTGAGAAGGCAGTTCAGAACCAACGCCATCTTTATATTTTACTTGAAAATGTTAACTGGCCGGTTGGTCTAGTGGTTAGTGAGCCTAACAAAGCCACACTTCGTGGATTCGATTCCCTCCCAGGACAAATAATTGTGTTGTGTAATCAGCACGATCATATGTTCTGTCTGGGTGTTATTTATCTTTAATTTGTATGTATTGAGAAAGCTATAAGTATGTTTATCAACAGTCTGGTTAGCATAGCATAGACTCTGCCTAGTTTAGGATTAGACGGACGTACGTGAAATTTGTGGGATGTGAGGATTTGAACACTTTGAAGTTGTAAGTGTTTACAATAAAACATCATCGTTCATTCAATAAAAGCTATTTATTTATATTAATTAAAAAAATAATATTTTAACAGACATGTCATAAAACGTATCACTTCTAGATATTAAAAATATTTTTATTAACGAAAAACAATTGAAAATGATGTCTGTGATGTCACACCATTCTACAACATTTAATGTATGTTTACTCACACGCATATTACATTCATCATCACCGTCATCATCATCATCATTTGGATGCCGAAACATCTGTTGAACAAAGAGCGATCTTGCGCCTTGCTTTTATTATAAATTATTATTAATGTAAAAAACAATATTTCTTTAACGACAGTTTGTCATACACAAATGTCATACTAGGCCAATTGGTCCAGTTATAAGAGTACTATCATTACCTATCTACGTCTTATACGCTTACACAAAACATACATATTCGATAAGAGATAGCACATTGGTACTCGTTAAAGTAATATGTGTGTCCATCTCGTATGAAATATCAACATATAATATAGTACGTCTGTAGGACATCAACAAAATATGGGTAAAGGGGTACTTCATACATAAACATGTATAGGTAATTCTTAGGCGTGAGTCGCACTGTCTTCCACGAAGTCTCTGGCTTCTTCTTGTGTGACACACTCAACATGGGACACTTTGTTCCTGAACTTGACGCCGTAGAACTTGTGCGCGTGCTCCAGAAGCTCCGGCCTGAACGTGGTCGTGATGAACTGCGCCGATGTGGACAACTCGTGGATCATGTTCGCGATCGCTTTACGATGCTGCGCGTCCAAAGCCTTTACAGTGGAAAAATTTACAAATTTCAACTTCATACAGTTGCATGGAACGGTTTATAGAAACATACATGACATAAGGGGTTAAGATGATATATCTCTCTACTATCAGTAACGGAATACAGTATTTCACAAAAGATAAAAAGGCAAAGGAAATATACACGTACCTGATCGATTTCATCGAATAGGTAGAAAGGTGCAGGGTCACACTTCTGTATGGCGAAGATGAGAGCTAAGGCGACCAAAGACTTCTGTCCGCCGGACAGCTGGTTCATCTCGCGCATGTCGCCCTCGCCGCCCGTGAAGGACACCTTGATGCCGACGCCCGTGAACTGGTCCGCGTTGGCGCGCTGGGGGCAAACACTTTATTCACCATCGCGCTTCACAAACATACATTTATTTATTCTGAATGTTCCAGAAATTGAGGGCCAGAAATTCTGGGAAACTGAAGCATTCATTAAAAACAAATCTCTATTGAAAAAAGATAATAATCTTTAGGAATTCTTTAAATTTAGACGCGTCGCAACCCCAACAGCCAGTCTGATTCTGTCCGATTCAGACCGGCTGTTGGGGTGGCGACGCGTCGCAACGCCATGCGTCGCCACGATAAGTGATATTATATATAATATGTAAGTTTCTTTAAAAACATCTGAATATTATTTTTTAATTGTGCTATATTTTATATTGCGTAAAGAGACGCAACGAATTTATTATTTACTTTCATAAGCTATCATTTTATACTCATTATTTCTAAAAAATAATTTTATCCCACGACGGATCAAATTTTTTAGCTACGCGGGGAAAATGACTATCAATTTTTTTTTGGTTTTATTAGAAGAAGTTGTTATTAGTATATACTTACGTCGGCATTGACCTCTTGCTGATCATCGGGAGCTACTCTCATAATCAAACTTCCTCTGCCTTGCGGTACGAGTTTCTTGAATACCTCGGTGAAGTTCTTGCTAACTTGTCTGAACGTGAACTGAATAGCTTCGAGCTTCCTGTGTTCCAGGGTCTCGATGAGCTCTCTTATTTTCTCACCTCTGAAAAAAAAAGCTACATTAATTGCTATTCCTTATACATTTTATAATATCGATAAAAAACGAGGGGCTCGTGGCTAAGTGGTAACCGAGTAAGTTAACGCATTGCAAAGTTAAGCAATCCTAGCCAGGTCCGTCTAAGGATGGGTGACTGTTTTTAACACATTGAGACCCCTCCGTGCCTTAGAGAGCCCATTAAGCGGTCGGTCCCGGTTGCCATAGGAACATCTGTGACAATCGTTACGCGTAGTTGGAAGCCCTAAGAAGTTCGACAACAGTATTTCTACAGAACTTCGATATCGCCTAGTACTTGGTTTGCGGAGGTCTGACGGCAATCGCTCCACATAAAAAATTGGAAGTTCAGACGTATCGCAGTAGTCATAAAGCCGACCCCAACCTAGTTTGGAAAAAAAAATGTTTAGTAATTAATTGATATTTAGGTTACCGTTTTGATATTAGCTAATTTATAAAATCATACTCACATATAAATACAAAACAATTAGGGTTAAATGGTGTCGTATGGTTTACAAACATAATAACCTGATCTAGTAACTCATCGCGACTAATTAAGGTGCAGTAGATAATGTGCTAATGGCAATGGATATTACGTGCTTTATCTCGAAATAAAGTAGAAAAGTGTTTCTCAAACATTATGAAATAAAAACCTGTTCCTATTAAGTTTACGCCAAGCCTGGTAAGGACTTGGGTTCAAGCGACAATTAGTTTTTTATGGAAAAGGGGGCAAACGTGTCACCAGAGGACCTAGTGTGAGTTTATTTCACATCAACTCGATCGATTGTCTCAGTGACCGCGTTCGGCGTTTGCGATTGGTGAAGATTACAGTGTGCGGACCAATCGTCACCGAGACGAGCGAGTTGATGTGAAATAAATTCATACTAGGCCCTCTGATGGTATGACTGTCTTCGTCTAGAATTAGGAAAGGATGAAGTTGCTAGTTCTGTAACAAAGGGGGCAAACTAAGTAATAACAAAAGAGTAACTTATAAAAGGGGTAACGGTGAAGAAGTTTTAAAAGAGGAACGGCTAGTAGATTAACTTGCGGTCTCCTGCACAGAGAGTTAATGTGTGGTACTGTAATCAATTTTATGATATCATAAAGCCTAGGAAATAAAACTGCGTTATCAAAGAACATTCACATAGTGTTATTTTTTATATTAAAGAAAATTCGCAGTGGAGTAAACAAAATGTACTTGGTAGGTTTAGTTTTCAAAAAAAAAAATTTTATAACGATAGATATATTTCTAGCATTACCACACAAAAACGTTTAACATTACATTAAATACACTTGTATTTCATTTTTTTTCGTAATCCTGCGTTTGATAAAACTTTCTTTTAAATGCAGGATTAAGTTTGTTTAAACACAGGATTAAGTTTGTTTAAACGCAGGAACAGGAACTAAAAAGTATGTAAGAGTTTAAAAAAACGCAAAGTTGGGTGAGTGACACTTTCATAAAAAGCATTAAAAATAATAATAAAATATTATTTCTTCTGTCAACGGTCTTTCGGTTTTTTGTTTAAGAATCGTAACCGAAAAGGTTATCGTCTTTTATTCCTATGACTTAGGAAAAGAAATCAGGACATTCATCAATTATTTTAATTTAATTTAATAACAAAATAAATAATTTAAATTATACTATAAAAAAAGAAACATATTTTTTAAAGTCGGAAGTCGTTAGAGTAAAGAGCTGAAAATTTGCTTGAATGATTTTATTCGATACTAAAATGATCTCCTAAATGCGAAAAAGCCGAAAAGGCAAATATCCCATATAGGTAAACCCGGATATACCAAATGTTGGTTCACGTTGAGTTTTAAAGTATGTCAAATTTAATAGTTTCTACATCTGGTACAGAAACCTTTAACAACACTGATTGAAATGTTATATATTTACGGAATAGCACATTTCATAGCTAACGTACGCGTCGCAACCACGTCGAATTGAGAAAATGTACGTTTATGTCTTGCTATCGATATTCGCATTGTTACTGACGGTCGAGTGTCAAAGTTGGTGGAATATGTTCACAGATATCTTAGACAACATAAGAAAATACGAAGACGCACATTTAAATATCAACCAGTTGGCCTTTAAGTATGGATATGATATAGAAGAGCATCAAGTGGTGACTGAGGACTCTTACGTTATAAATTTCCACAGGATACCGAACGAAAATGGTCAGGTGGTGTTTCTGATGCATGGTATAGCAGATTCTGCGGATTGTTGGTTACTGCAAGGTCCTTTTCTTTCATTGGGATACTTGCTAGCTAACGAAGGCTTCGATGTTTGGATGGGTAACGCAAGAGGCAATAAATATTGTACCAAGCATGCATTTTACAATGATACGTCACAAGAATTTTGGAAATTCACGTGGGAGGAGATTGGTCTGTACGATTTGCCTGCGATGATTGATTACGTTCTTAATATTACGGGAAGAGAGAGTCTATATTACATAGGGCATTCGCAAGGCACCACAACCGGCTACGTGTTATTGTCGATGAAACCGGAGTACAATAAAAAAATAAAGATAATGATTTCACTAGCGCCTGTCGCTTGGATGGGTAACGTCAAAAGCCCAATTTTACAAATCTTTTCAAAGAGTGCGAACGAACTATCGTCTTTCCTCGATTACGGCTTTTTATCATCAGGAACAGATTTATTTCACAAATTATCACCGTTTGTGTGTAATTGGTTTATGGTGAAATGTGAAAATGTTTTGTTTACTCTGATGGGAGATGAGCATAGAATAAACGATACTCTATGGCCAGTTATATTTGGGCACATACCTACTGGCTCTTCGACGCTACAGTTCGTTCATTACGGACAATTAGTCAATTCTGAGCGATTTTGTAGGTTCGACTATGAGGAGGAGAATATCGAAAGGTATGGACAAACTAAGCCCCCTGATTACAATACAAGTATGATTCAAGTACCAGTAGTGTTGTATTACAGTGATAAAGATTTGCTATCGGATGTTCAGGACGTGATGATGATGAAAAGCAAATTACCTAACGTATTGGATGATTTTTTTTTAAGTAACTTCGGCCATTTGGATTATTTGTATGCTGCTGACGCATACGATCTTGTTTACAAAAGAATCATCGTACAAATCAAGAATTTTGGGACGAATGGTAATGACTATACATAGGAAATTACCTTTAGAAAGTATTTTTGTTAAAGAACTTAAAAGCCTGTGCTGGTCTAAACTACTGATGATTATCAGTAGTCTAGTTACAATTAATCCTTTAAAAGACCTAACCCGGCTCAATATAACCTATTCATTATACGTGGGGTATTATTTACTATATATATATATTATATTATTTACTATATTATTATTTATTATGTATTATACTTGACTGATATAGTTATTATTATAAAGATAGGTGGGCAGTTGAAACAATTGATCCTGAAATACTTCTATTGTTCAGTTCGTAGAGTTAAACTTTCCTTTTGCACAATAAAGTGTCTGGTTGTTTCCATTTTGATTTTTATTTTAATCATTGTTAAACATCAAAATCTCCTTACACATGTTGTCTCTAGATCTCCACAAAGAAACAAAAATATGTATGTAGACTGTTGAACATACTACACACTAAGCAGGGTCTGAGCTATGGTAACCAGACTGCTGATGAACATACTTATATATTTCTAAATACATTCCTACTATAGATAAATTACACCCAAACCAATGATCATGCTCATTTCACATTATTTGTAGGTGGGAATCGAACCCACGACTGCTGGCTTAGTATTTAGGAACAGAAGGCACTAGATCGTCATTTAAGATTTTATAAATAACGATGTGTTATAAATGGGCCTGTTGGTCTAGTGGTTAGTTACCCTCACTGCTAAGCCGGAGGACGTGGGTTCGATTCCCATCCAGGACAAATATTGTGTGATGAGCACGATCGTTTGTTGAGTCTGGGTGTACTTTATCTATAATATGTATGTACTTAGTAATATACATGTACGTTTATCAGCAGATCGGTTAGCATAATACAGGCTCGGGCTAGTTTGGGACCAGACTGCCGAGTGTCAGAAGTGTAAAGTTATTATGTATGGGCTTTTTTGATGATGGGGTACAGAAAGCCATGAGAAACCTTCCAAAATATTTTATTGGAGTTCTAACAGTTTGTTTATTTTTAGCTATATAGAGATCATACAAAGAGATTATATTTTAAAAATATGTTCTACTTACCCAATATCAAGTTCTTCTTTACGTTTGTATAGCTTCTCCTTCTGTTCTGAGAAACTGATGAACTGGTCCAAGGCTTTTTTGTTCACGTGGTTGTATTTCTTCAAATGCTGATTCGCTTTTTCTAGCTCTTTGAAAAGCTGCATAGAAGATATAATACAACGTTTTATGAATAAAAGTTTTAGTTATGATTATTATTTATTATACATGAAATTATAAAAAAAAACCACTGTAGGTTATTAGTGATTACAAAAGTCATAATATCTAAAGTAATCTTTTGAAGAACAAGCATTTCGCTCAGCAAGACATAATATTTCACAATAATCCGTGGAACCTGGGATAACACAGTACTTATATGCTTCGAAACACTTGCCCCGGTGCGACCGGAGTTACACCATGGCCTCACAGAACACCGGTGTTAAACTATTCTTTTATTATGTTTCACCGAGTCAGTGTGATTATCGCTAACTAGCTCCCTAACTCTCTGACTGCACGAATGGCGTAGTGGTTTAAGCGGCCACGCCGCTTGCTACTACGCTGAGTGCTGTGGGTTCGATCCCCACAAGGGACAACACTTAATATGTTATCCACAAATTGTGAGTCTGAGTGTTATTTGTGTGGGTTTCATGTATGTTTGTAAAGTACCCCGCGACACAGGATTTATTTCTAGTGCGGCAGTTGTCTTTAAAAAAGAATTGTTTGGGGGGATTGTAATTCTGGGAGGTTCTTATTCTTACACTCTAAGGGTAAGTGTCAACGCACAACCATTAACTGTTAACATCCCTCTTATAAAAATAAATTAAAATGTGAAGTTACCTGTTTGAGGGACATCTTCTGGTATTTAGCGTGTAGTTCGGGTGCATTAGACAATGTTCCCAGGGCAGCAATCTTGTCGAGAGACTCTTGTATCTTCTCCTGTAGCAACACTTCCTTGGATGCCATCTTTTCCAGCCCTTTCGCATCCTCCTCCATTTTGTCTTGAGCTTCTTTTTCCTGTTCACATATCATAATACTAAATCAAATATATATCTAAGGTTTTTTATTTATAATGAATTAGCATAGAAAAACACATGAGACGAGATTACGATTATAATTATTATAAATGTCTTAAGCATATAAGCAATATAGCGCAGTGCTAAACACTATGGTGAAATACTCTGTGGTTTACTCGACAGAAAAAGAAAAGATTATAAATATGGATCAGTTGAGTTACACAAAGCTAAAATTGGCAATTGAAACAAATTTGTATCATTTTGACAGCAGACATTACACTTACACTTTCTTTTATTAATAACCTGATATATTTCACATAAGGCCTTCTGGTCCCTAAGGAGGCAGACTGCTGATAAACATACTTGTGTATTACTAAATATTATATTTAAATTGAACATTCTTAGTGTTCATCAGCCAATTATTTGTCCTGGGGGAGAATCAAACCCACGTCCCTCTAGCACAGCAGTCACGATCAGGTACAGTAATTAGATTATATAATGACCTAACTTAGCACCATACCTTATTCCTCCACTTATCAAGTTCAATTTTCAAAGCTTTTTCGTTCTTGACAGCGGCTTGTACTTTCCTCTCTACTTCTTCCAGCTCCTTGTTAATCTGTTTGATACGTTTCTCGGTGGCTGTAAGATCAGCTTTACTGTTCGCCAAACGACGCTTGCGATCTTCCACAGATATCTCTTGCAGAGCTTGCACCAATTCATCTTTGCGTCTAGTCGAGATAAAATGAAAATATTTTTAAGTTAGAAGAATCTAATAATATATGCATTGAATCAAGGGTAAATAAGGATGTAAACTTGTCTGACTTTATACAACAACTAGCTTTATGTAGGTATTTCCATAGTATATCTAAACTAACCACGGAGGGAGATAATGTGGCATCCCGTACAAGTTGAAGCTAATGTTTTATTACGCACTGGCCGAATCTCGTACACAGTATGGCCTTAGTAATTACGGACGTACTTATAAAATTTATCTAGATAATATTTGTAAACCACAAGTAATAATTCTAAAAACCAGTCTTGTCATAATAAAAAAATCAATTTCATTTTTTTTCCTCTTTAAATATTGCACAGTTTTACCAATTCACAGTCAAGTGCATTATTAATTATTAAAGGAATAATTCTTCAACGAATCCTTAAGAGGAATCATCAAGCATCCTGTTGTCCATCGGGAAAATTCCAAGAATCGGCTTCACACACAGCGAGCCAATAATACGAAGGACGAGCGACTACCGCCTATATTGTCCCTCGACATATTAATAACTTACACTCAGATTTATGTAATAGCATATCACAGAAAAAGATAAAATCCAAATTAAAGCAATATTTTATAAGTTTTGTTTAAAACTGATGCAGTATTTGTATATACGTTTAGGTATCACGTATCATAAGTACGTTTAGGTATAATGTTGAGTAAAATTAGTAAGTGTAAGATTATTTTTTCTTTTGTTTTCTTGGTAGTATACCAACAAAACTATTTATCTTTTCTATTTGTTATTATATCTTATAGTTTAGTAGGGTATCATAAACCTAAGTCTTTTGGGACTAATTACTGTCCTGTCCTGTCAAAATAATCTACCGGGTAAACATCATCGCGTCAGACCCTATTTATTTTGACATGTATATGCATTTACTTTACCTAATTAAGTTGTTTGTGAGCAGATTCTCAAGCTTGTTTTTGGTGGCTTCCAAGTTCATCCTAGCACTGAACGCTTCTTTGTTCTCTTGAGTGAGACGACGTATCGCGTCATTTAGCTCATCCACTTTGCCCTGGTCTGCGGTCGATAGCTGCTCCATCAGTTCCTGTGGGTTTATAAATTAATAATTAGTAATGGAAAATTGTAGTAACCTTGGTTATGTAAGTCTTTGTAAAATTTGAGCGTCCTGATGTTGCAAGTCAATTACACATTACACAAGAAATTTAACAATTAACTTTAAAAAGTATCAATGACTTTAATGTGATGAAATCATGATAAATTGTAATAAGTTCTGTTCTTTATTTATTAATTTGGCATCCCTTAGGTGATAGCCCACAAAAAAAATAATTTAAAATTGCACCAACTTTAGGTATCAAATAAAAGGAGAATAATTATTGGGAGCATTTTACGTATGAACATTAGTAACCTGATGTAATTCTGACTCCAGCCCCTCCTTGGTGGCCTGCATGGCTTCGAGGCTTGAGCGGCACTGCGCCAGAGACCGCTCCTTAGGCCCGCGGAACCTTTCTATCGAGGCCAGCTCCTCCTTCATTAGGCGAATGTCGGCTTTTACCTTATCGAAGATGTCCCTGGTAAATATTTCGGTATTTCACTCTATGAATCTAGTCATAAGAAATATACATATACAAAACGCAACGCACCATGATATTACATCATTTCATCAGTTAAAAGCTAACAAATTGTTAATTTTGTTGTAAATTCTTTAATAATAGTTTATGCATTTACTATTGACATGACAATTTGACGAATGAGCATTTATTAAGCATATGCAGTTTTTGTATATGTTAATATGACAAACATTAATTAATGAACAACTTATTTGAAAATGAGTTGTACATTTTTTTTTAATGTTAGAGGGGGCAGACGAGCAGACGGGTCACCTGATGGAAAGTGAGCATCGCCGCCCATGAAGGTCTGCAACTCAGGAGTCACAAACGCGTTGCCGGCCCTTTTAGGAAGGAGTACGCTCTTTTCTTGAAGGACATTTGACATTTGGAGCAAAGTCTATATCTTACACTTAGAAGGCAGACTTTATAAAGAAGTTAATTAGGTATAGACCAGGAAAAGGAGTCGACTAGATAGGTGTCTTAAAAAAAATATCTTTTTTTTTAGAAAACCCTCCTTTTGCTGGTCTAGTAGCTATTGTCGATATTCTACTTATATCAGAGTATAATACCAAATACACACTTAGCTTTCCCCTGCTTAGTCTCTGTCCTCTGCATTTCTGACACAATGGTGTTGATACTGGTTTCAGTCTTGTTCAGTTCTTGTCTCAGGGTACTCAGCTCTTGTTCCAAGGTGGTGATTTGCTCCATTAGTTCAGACCGAGTTTTCTGCATTTCTAATCGTGAACGGGATTGATTGAAATAACCACCGGTTAGAGATCCTTTGGAAGATACCTGTTGTTTTACATTAAAAAATTAAAATAATTATACATTTCTGACAATATATGAATAAAAACATTAATTTTCTATTTACAGTGCATGGCATTTGATATTTTAAAGACACTACATATTGTTTTTCGAAAAGAAAAAAACGCAACATAATTTACATTGGTATTTTATAATAATCACAAATGTGTCCGGTAGTTACCTGATCTCCCTCCAGGGTGACACAGTCAAGGTGGAACTGCTTGCCCAACTCCGTGGCACACTCCAGGTTCCTACAGATGAGCGTCTTGCCGAATATGTACTTCATCGCCTTTGCGTACTTCAGATCGTACTTTAGCTTTTGTACCATGGCTATGGCATTCTGGAAGTAGTTTATGTATAAAAAAATAAATAATGATACTTGTAGTATTAACGTAAATATAATAATTGTTGTTAATATACTGAAAACAGGGTGTACTGTACCATGATGACTCTTATTCTTTATTTATGTCACTGTATTATAGTTTAATATAATGTTTTTTTTTTTAAATAAAAGATTACTCCCGCATAACATCCCGGACCCATAACCCTTAGCGTAGTAGTAAGCGCGTGGCGATCGTATCCACCAAAGCAGAGAGGAGACGAGATGAGAGGAGATGGGCTGCGAAGCTGACAGGTTATTTCCACCTGCAAGCTTCGCAGGTTATATTTTGTAGCAGAGATAAAGCTGTGAGAGCTCGAAACCAGTTAAGTACTGTACTGTCAAGTCCCTGTAGCTACGAAAGGAAAAATTCATGTCGTCACAATAGTTATATCTTAATTTGCTTGAGGAAGGGTAATTAGAGGTTGAAGGAATAGGATTAATTCTTCAATATTTAAATTATCGACGGCAACATAGATTCTGGATAAGAAACCATATAAAATGCACAGTCATGGCGAATATGCCACACTATTAAAAGAGTTTGCTGGGAGAAGACAGCCTGGCCGCCAACTACACACATCTCCGCTCTGCCGCGCCGCACAAAGTTCTATGGAAAAATTAGACATCTCTACTCTCCGCTTGATCCATTTCCACCGAAGCTAAGCGAAGATGAGATGTGGAAATAACGAAATCTGATTGGTTATTCAAAACAACTTCTCTCTTCTGCTTTGGTTTATACCGGGCCTTCCGTGCAGTCAAATTCCTATTAATACAGACACACCTGTATAGTTGTCATTTCGCCAGTTTCATTTGTAGCCCCACATAATGCAAAGCAAGCTATTTTTTAAAACATTTTTTTAAGAACGTCTCCAGACTGCGTATATCCTATTGTTGCCAAATACGGAACACAAATTCAACTAATTCCGCAAAGACAAGGACCTCGCAATGATTACCCGCCCCCTCCTCGCAATGGCTAAGGCCGCCACTGACTACATATAACGTTCTTTGGGTGTGATTTAAAGTACAAATATAAACTTACATTGTCACTTGGGTACACCATGTCCCTCACTTGCAATCGGTTAAGAGGCATGAAGGTAACCTCTCCCGGGAGACTCTGCCTGTTCATTTCCTTCAGAATCTTTGTGCCGACCGTATCTGATTCTACGATGTGATGGAATAGACGATTACCAGCTGTCACCTTAAATATAGTATATTATTGTAGATATAAAACTGAGGTATAATTATGAAAGACTAACAAGCAAAACTACATGTTATGTTAAAATGGCTACGATATAGTACAGTTTTTATTATCTTGTTTTAAGAAACCGCTACTATAATCATCAACAACCTTTAATAGTCCACTGCTGGACGTAGGCCTTTCCTTAGAAAGGAGGGTTTGGCCTACTATACCACGCTGGCCAGACGGATTGGTATAGGGTTTGTGTCAAGTTTTCCTTCTCTCTGCAGTGCTGTTATTCTGCATAGTGCTATTATAATACCAGTAAATAATTATGTACTATTTTTTTTTTTTATAAGACAACTCCCGCGTGTAAGCTAAGTATGAGGTAGTTAGCTTTTATCGTCACTATATCAAATTAACGTACGCCTACATAGGTACTAATTGAATGAGCAATAGCAGCCCACTGTATTATCTAGACATGTCGACGCAGATACCTACTTGGGGCCAATCTGAAATGTGATGTTAGCAGAACTGTGTCTAAATCGATAAACTGTGTATTTTACCTAACCAGGTTGTTTTTTGTGCGCCAAATTACATTAGTATAACTCACTTCAACAGCAGTATAAATAGTCTTGTCACATGTGAAATTCTCGATGACGGGTCCATAATACTGAGTGGCAATCTTGGCCCACTCGCCTCCTCTCTCCTGGAACGTCTCGAGCACTTTGCGCACACTGTCCCTTCCGTTCAGGATAGGCTGAAAAAAATGTCGAGATAAAAAAACTGACTCATAATTTAAGTATGAAAATTAATTTACTTTTCTAGTTCTAACATACAAAACTTGTATTGCGAATAACTTCATACATCAAACTTAGTGGAGTTGCTTGAAACTTTGTAAAAATACCATGCATATTTTACTATTTAATTTGTAATTAAAGGAAGTATTTTACCTTGCCAGCCATAGATCGTAGTGCTTGATCAGCCTTCGACAAGTCATCTTTTAAAGATGATAAATTCTGTGTTAGCGAAGTTTCCTTACGCCAAAGTTCACTGGAAAAATATAACGAAATATGTTATATTAAAAATTCAGATGTATCAAAAAATGTAACAATTAGCCCATTATTTGATTGGTATCTCTGTATACATTAATACTTTACAAATACCTACTAGTTTATATAGCATCAACATTAAAAAATAAATAAAGTTGGTGTACGATATTTTGTTCTGGCCAAATCTTACTTTCTAGCGCTCTGTTCTTGATCCTTTTTCTTCTTACATTCGTAGTACTGTTTATTGTGTTCGTCAATAGCAACCCTTTGTCTCTCCATCTCTTTCGTAGTCTCTTCAATCCTTTTTTCCAGTTCAGTTAGTTTCGTCGCGTCACGTCGGAGATCGTCCCGGAGTTTAGCTTCATGGTCCTTTTTATCTTTTAACTGTTTGTTGAGAGACCTAAATATATAGAATAACATTAAAATGTGTAAACAAAGTTTTCATGTACTTATACTGTAATGTTACTCGTAAGAAATGGTATTTAATTAGGCAAACAAATTTAAAGTTTAAAACACATGTTTATTAAAACACAGAATGTATTTTTCAATCTTCTTAAATTCAAACTCTTACATCTGCTGCATCACAAAAATGATCTTTTTGTCCCTAGGCAAAAGCTGAAAGCGGCTTATAATCTTTACAATAAATGTAAAATTTTGATTACCGCTGTTAAAAAGCGCCAAATAAAAAATCAGAATTTTAGATTAAACATATGCAAGGCTTACTTGAGTTCTTTTTCAATCCATCGATCTCTGTCCTGCTTCGATGTGAACTGTGTCCCTCTACCTTGTTTTGCATATAACTCTTGTCTTTTCTGCTGATTCAATGCTAAAGCTCTTGTACACTCTTCTTCACGAGCCTTCATCTCTTCGTATTTAGGTTTTAGTTCTTCCAGCTCACGTTCCTTCTCTGATATTTGCTGGCGAAGACGTTCCAGTTCGGCTTCGGCTCTTTCCTGAAAACCATTTTATATATGTGTAAGCTCTTAAATATTTTTCACTTTGAGACAGAAGTTGAGGTACAAAATAGCACATTGGGTATCTTTCATCTAACCTTTGTTGCATAGAGACACAAAGAACTTTTTTTTTTATAAAAAAGAGATGTAAAAATGTAGTAAATGGATTAAATGAGCTAAATTAGCTTGATCAATGAAATTATTGAAAAACATATGAGCGTGTATGTTACTGCAAGAGCTTTCAATATTATCTTAGCTCAGAAAATACATTTACTTATCTTACTTTCTGACAGCAAATTAAGATTTAGCAAAATTGCCCAATTACTGTTTATATACGAGTACTAAATATGTATGTAAAGTTGACTATGTCATAAGACATAGTCCACTTAAATACTCTCTTCACTCAACTTAATCTTACCTTAGATTTATTATCTCCATCCACATCATCTGACAAATCCTTAATGCCAAGCTCTAGTTTAGTTTTCTCTCGCAGCATTTGTTGCTGTTCAGTAGACAGTATGTCTTTTTCTTCACGAGCTGCTGCCACGTCTTTCCGAGCTTCTTTTAGTTTTCTGGGTAAGATTATAATAATTTATAATAACTGAACACATCTCACATATGGCTGTATTATAATCTAATGGGTGAAAATGGAAACCTCCGTCGGGGTACCAGGGATCCTTCCTAGGGTACCTGGTTCCCGCCTGCTGATGCACCAGACGGCGTGCGGTTTTTGGTCGGTGATGATTAGAATGATACCGCTAACTACGACACTAATTTTCTAAAAACAAAAGTATTCAGTTACCTGTTTGATTCTCTCACATGATCTTGAGCCTCTCTCACCAGATCAGCATAATGTTGCTGTTCTTTGCCACTGTTAGACCTCATTTTCTCTAACTGAAAATATCAATGCATATTAATTTAATAAGAAATGTAGTTTTTACTACTATGTGATCAGATCATATTAATCAGACAATATTCAGAAGTTGAATTATAATAATTTGAGAAAAGTTGAAAAAAAAGATAGCGACAGTCATTCATCTAACACATTGTTGCTTAAAAAGTTGGATAGTAGGTGAGCATTCATCTTAATAACAATAATTTTCTGTACAGTTTGTAAATGTGTGTACCAAAACTAAAAGATTTACCTACAAATCATTACTTATTTTACAGATGGAAATATTTGTGTACTGTGGGCCTGCGGGCTGCCATCTATAAAATTTGTCAACCAGGATAAAAGCTTAAAATACTCCGATTTTGGAGTTAAGAGCCCAAACAAGACATGTCACCAGTTTTTTTTTTAATTTAGTCTATTTATTTTTAAACCAACTTTTATTCAGTTATTTTTCATAGAAGTCAGTGACAAAAAAGAATCTTACAGTTTTGAAAAACTTGAAAAATAGTAGTGTGCTTTTGACAATCTTAAATTATTTTTTCTTTGGTTAAACAAAAAACATACTCCGTTAAAACAATCTTAAAGAAATAATTTATAAGACATCATTTCAGTCATATTTTTATTTTTTTACACAGTCCTTAATCCGAATCATCCGAATTCATCCGAAATTAGGAAGGCAATGGAAAAGAAAGAGTACTACTCCTCAGTCTTTCTCGACATTCACCAAGCCTTCGACCGAGTCTGGCACAAAATTAGTTGTGAATGAAGTAGCCCATGAAGTTAGCTAAAAGTGGAGGTTATCAAAGCATCCGAACGAGTTAGCGGGACAGCTCACTATACCTGAAACCATACGTCGGCTCAAAAAGCGGCGCGAGCGGGTTTCTAAAAATCCAGGTAAATACAAGGATAGAGCAAGCTCCATTGGAAGCGACGCCCTGAACGACAACACTGCCCACACCTCATCTGCTTATAGTCACAATATGCCTGATCGTAAGATAATTAAGAAAAAAAAAACAGTCCTTAAAGTTTTCATCAGCAATCATATTTTGAACATAAAATATCTCTAAGAAACTTAAGATCGGACACTTTTAAGAGACTATGAGTTGGTGATCAACATTGCGTCCATTGCGTCCAAAGACAAGAAAACTTTAAACATAGACTTCAAATTAAACCCCACCTAGACAGTCCCCGAAAACTCTCTAAACTAGGCAGAATCCAGGAAAACCCAGATGGATGGCAGCCTTACATATATACAGAATATCACAAAAATGTAATTGTTTTCACATACCTCTTCTAGTTTCCGTTTATTTTCCCTATGCTCCGTGTCATGTATAATAAACTCTAAAACGCGTCGTGCTCTGTCCCATTTCTGATACTCTTTCAATTCTTCCTTCTCTTCTTCCAATGTTTTCAGACGTTCCTCTATTGTTTGCAGAAATTCATTAATTTTCTCCACCTACAATTTTAAGTATGGATAACTTAAATCAATTAAGTATAGATATCTTAAATCAAAATTTGTGTAAAAATGCCAGGAGTAAGTATTGTGCTTAAGGAGTGTTTCACGTTGCGTTACAACAGCATGGTAATATAATAAGCACTGTAATTTTTTAACTTGAACCTGATGGAGTTTAATAAGTTAGTAATTATTTACACTCCTCCAGCTAAGTCTCACTGCTTTTCATAAGGCCGGTCCTTTGTTTGTTCATCATCTTTGTAATATATAAAAACCTGAAAATATTCTTGATTTACCTTTCCAACAGTTTCTTTGAGTATTGTGACAGATTCTTCTCTACGTTCATCATATACTCTGGTTCCTGCCACTTCACGTAGTAACTTCAGCCTGTGTGAATCAGGCGCAATAGCCATTTGATTAATCTGTAATTACATTTAGTGAAATGCAATTATTTAACCAAAAACTGTACGATTATAATAATATACTTTGTTATAATAGTATAGCAGTGTTATATACGTATTAAGCAAATATAATTAGGATTTACTAGACTTCTGACCTTGTAGTAGTCTACATTATCAACATTAATATATCATTATCATTATTCATTATTTTATTATAATATATTTCTTATACATATGTGGAGGCTTGTTATAAGCAACCTTTTTATTGATATTTTTACTTAAGCAAAGTTTGTTATTAGTCTGTAAGCCTTCTTAAAATGAAATAAATAAATTATATAATACAGAACTATGAGCTTGTCCAGCGCTTGGTTATTTGAATATTTTCTAAAAATAAACTAATGTGTGTAAATAAACTGAAATGTGAACTAATTTATTAAAAGTTAGCACAGTCTTGTACTAGTTGCAAGATTATTGGACTGGAAAATACATTTATTTATAAACTAGCTTATTTTAAAAACAAACAGGCTTATTTATTACTTTTATTATAAGCCTACAGTAATAAAGCCTTACCATTAACTAAATTAGGCTTAGTGTGATACTTACTTTACCCTGTTTGACAATATAGTACGGATTAGAGTTTGACAGGCCAGCACTCTCTAAAAGATTGAGTACCTCAGACCGAGGCACCACTTTCTTGTTGAGGAAGAACTGGTCCTTCTTTGAGCCAATAACTCGACGCAGGAATATTTCATCTTTTTCAATCTAAAAAAGAATGTGAATGGTAGTATTTAAATTAAATATAAACATGTATTACATATAATTATCATTTAATATATAAATAAAACTTTACTACAAGTTTAATATTATTTAAAGTTCATATTAAAAAACAAAACGTAAATTAACACTAAATGAGGTAACTGAGATAAAATTAAATAAAACTTACGGGAATTCTATTATCTGAATTATCAAAAATAATCTCCACATAGGCAGATATGACTCGAGGTCCTGTCCCTTCATGTAACAGAGCAAGTCGCTGCTCTGGTCTGAGATGTGAAAATTCATCACTTAATACAAATTGTATAGCTGGAAAAATAAACAAAAACAATTAGACAAACACATTAGCCTATAGATCACGTAGATTTCTTTTTAAAGAGGCACGCATTTTAAAGGGGATACTTGTGTTTATTGTTTATGTTTAGAGGCATAATGTACACTGACTATTAGGTACTTAGACAGTTTTAAGCGTGCAACTAACCATGGAAAAAGTTACTCTTCCCTGAACCATTACGTCCAACGACTACATTGTGCCGCTTATCGAACGGTTCTACCACAATTTGCTCACGATAACTCTTGAATCCTTGGATTATAACCTGGAAACAGTTGCAGTTAGCATAAATACGCGTCACTTTACAATAATAAATACTTTAAGAACAAACTAAGCTGAATTTTTTTACATATTAAGATAAATATCACTAATAAATGATATTTTACCTGTTTTATGTGCATTTTTATGTACGTAACTTATACAAATAATTATTGTTTACTGCAGTAAAACATTGACCGCCATTTCGAAATGCCAAACTAGTGTTGCCAGCGCTTGAATAAAATTTTCGTATAAAAATCATTTAAAGTAAAATCTAAATAAATAGTATTGAAAAACAAAAATTATTGATTAACTTATTAAGACGAGAAAGTGCAACAAACCAATAATTTCAGTAATTTTAAATTCATTCAGTAACACTTCAATAAAATGACTTAAACGTCATATTTTGTCTCATGGACAATAGTGGCAATCAAACTCATTATAGTTTGATGCAAAAATACTATATTGATTACAAAAGCATACTTAATATCATGCCAGTCTCTCATAATAACAATAATGTGAGTAACATTTTAAAATTATCTTCTCTTTCATGTTTTTACCACATTTGGAGATAAAAGCACTAACATGGCAACGCATGCAAAACTTAACGTCAATTACAAAAGTGTTGCTAAATAAAATTAATTTGACTACTAATGGAGAGTCAAAATAACTGAACGGTTAAGGTAAACCAAAAACAGAACTGTAAATTTCAGGACTGTGACGCAGTCCTGAAATGATAATCCCTTTTGTACACATAGATTGATATTTGTTTCATAAATAAATTTCACGTCTGTAATAATTTTTGTTTGAATCGACCTCAAAAAAAATGAAGATGAAGTAAGTGGAACACCGAGTATAATATGCAACCGCGTCACCAACTCAGCACAATTCGATTCTCAACGGAACACAACACACTGCTCCTCGAATACAAAAGCATAAGTCGACGAGAGTTGACAGTTGACACGACACTGGTAGCTTGTCAAAATGACAGGCGGAATGAAACAGGAAATCTCCGAACGTAAATCTAGCCTGCGCATGAATATAGGTGACGTGAGTTTAATACGAGGCGTACGGCGCGAAGTTCAAATAAACATAGTTGTCTTTGTGTTGTTGTTACTGGTTGTCCTGCTCGCCACCCGCAAAGGCCGCCCTGCTATAACATTTGATTTAAGAAATGAACTTCTGGGTTGTTGTAGTTTGATATTACAAGTACTCACGACTCTTGATACCTTACACAGACTGTTGATAAGTCACACAATATGTTTCTTTAAAAAGTGCACTTGTTTTTTATGTAAGAGGGGGCAGACGAGCAGACGAGTTACCCTGGGCCTCAATTTTGCTATTACGCCAAGCCTAATTTCTTTTTTTTTTAATTTTATTTTTTTAATAAGTTATTTTAATTTATTTATTTCTTTTAATCAGTTATTATAATAAAAACAAATAAATCATTTCCTCAAAAAACGTAATATATTTTCAACTACCGATATTTATACCGATGCCAATGGCTACTCGATGGCATCTCAATAGCGTGTCAGTGGTATGACACTGGCTTGGCGTAAACATAAAATACCAGATTTGAGGCCCTGATGGAATGTGACTACCACCGCCTGAACGCCTGCAACTCGAGTTACAAATGCGTTGCCGGGCCTTTTAGAAAGTAGTTTTATCTTATATTATATAATTTGTATTTAGTAATTTATAATTAGCGATATTCGCTGATTGAAGTTATAACAAATCTAAAATGTAGAATTTACATTTAAAAAAGGAAACAAAAACTATATTTTAGATAAATTGTAAACAGATGAAAGTATTATAATAGTGTTATGTTAGCATACCTAGATTATATTTCGACAATGAAGTCATATTAATTTGAATACCAAAAATGCAACTAGATCGGTCACCTGAACGAACTGGATTCTGAATTATTACTTAATCTAATAATGTGCTTATTCTGAGCTTTAAGTCAGAAAATATGATAATTTTTATATTATCACATTTTTAGTTTAGTATACTTACGCCGTCAAAGCTGTGACACATCTAAATACAGTTATTTAAACTTGTTAGCCAAACATACATTACATCAACAATGATCTAACCAAAATAAGTTATTTTAGTTTCGAAAAATATATAATTAAAGGGAGAACGATAAAACTCATTAAATCATAAATTTACAAAACGTCTAATACTGTTTGTTAAACTTTCGAAATGCATAACAGTGTATAGCTTGGATAACGCCTGGTTGGTTTCGGTTTATCCGACACACAAATAGTTTATACAGAAAGAACAAGCAGGCGCTGAATGGTAATTTTTTAGTGATAGTGATCTAAAAAGTATATAAAGTTCGTCAAAAAAGAATGAAAACTGAACTAATTTATTGTTCTCGGCTTCTAACAAGTTCCAAAAAAATATATAGAGTAAATTCTGTTAAGGAATTGCGAAATCAAGACATGACAAAGTAGTTTCAAATGGTCAGTGGCAGCAGAATGGGCAATGGCAACAAACATTTACGTGTACGTATTAGGATTTAGACATAATATATATATATATAAATTTTTTGGTTAAAGTTCGTGTTCTGCATACAAGTAAAAAATACTGTATTCAAAGGATTTTTGACGCATTTTGACCTACTAGTAAGTTTTATATATAGTGACAATGTTTTTAAAAAAAAATAAGGAGATGATTGATATATTATTATAAACAACAATTTTTTTTTTCATTTGTACAAAAACTGAAGATTGCGGAAATTTAAACCAGATAGATCTAAACCGGTTACAGCTAAGCCAGTTAATTAATTTGTAATTGATGGTTAAATTTTTGAGAATTTAACTTATTTTTTAATTTATATTATCTGATTGTGTAAATATGTACTTACTTATAATCTATGCTTATAAAGTCAAAGTGGTCCGTTTACATAGTTAGCCTAAAATGCAGAAAACAACCTGGCTTTATCTTTGTTTATCTTTGATATGAATAACCATCTCGGCTTGCCTAGGATGATCACCTATTTGTACAGAAACAAGCCTGAAGCCAAAATCATCGATCAATAACTTGTCTTCATTTATATACTCTTCTTACTACTCTTCTTTTAGTTCAATGACTCCATCGGATAATTTATAAACTCGTAAAATTAAATTTAAATGTACAGTAAGTAAGTGTCACATGTGTCAAAGTAAGGAATTTTTGAGTTGGGCTGTATTGAAATGAAAGCTTTAACTGTGAGCACCAGTTAACTGGTGCTCAATACACCCGAGCATCCAACTACTCAATACTTTCTTTTCAACTTGCTTGTTTTTTGTGTTAGTGTCTTATTTGAGGTCTTACTAGGTCATAATATCGCGTATCGTCATAATCTGGCTTGATTATTGCTCGGAGATGTTTTTTAAAGCTCTTCCGTGCGTATATACTATGACATTTGGGGTTTTCACGTACTCGCACGCCATGGTTTAAATTAGTTCCCATTATTTTAGAAATTAGAATTGTACCTTAATAAAATAATTGACGTGAAAATAAATATAATTGTAAAAAACCTTGGCATGTTTTGCATTATTTAATATTATTTAATACAAATTGTATCGATCATTTTACCCTTATGCGACACATTAGTCTCCTACCCAGACCTATCTACATAATGGCATATCAACCGCGTGTATCTAAGTTCCCTTTCTACTAAAATTTTCGGATCTCAGGATGATACAATACTACGAGTACTAGTACAGTGGCAAGAGTAAGGCACTTATTTATAGGAAGTGTAAGTATTGTTTTGTCTCGTCGTATTCCATATCTTGCCATATTTTCAACTCTGTGTGTTGCTCAAAATATCACGTAGTACTTTTTTATATTTTGTAGTATAATATTTATGTTCTAACGTCAAAAAAGTACTGTAATATTAAGGGTTTACCCTTAATGCGTAGCCTTATCCCGTAGCCGCGTCTTATAGGCCGTGTAAACGGGGTGTTTGGCTCGATTCGCATTTGCTCGTCGTCGATCGGTACTAGTATCGGTTTTTGAACACAAATCAAAGGAAGCTCGCGGCAAGCGCTTGCGACGTATTTACACGTTGGCGCGTGCTTGTTACCCACTGCTCAATTTGATATTACAAATATTGTAGTTGAGCAGTCGGGAATCAACATTAAGCTTTACTGATTGTGCAGTTTAGTTGAGCAGTAGGGCTAGAGAATACGATCGTATATATTTTTTAGTTTCGTGCCGCCTTTTATATTTTGAATAAAAATATGTCCACGTCTGCTATGTTTGCCTGTCCGGAACACAATAGCACACTCGCAAGTGTCTAAATAGCATCCAAACGTTTGTAAAGACTTGGAACTTATGGACGTATGTCAAGCCTATGCACGCATGTAAACTAGGCATTACACATGTAATATAAGAAACGTGCATTGCCGTTGCGTACAACCATTTGTCTGTCTTTATCACCGTTTCGCTGCATCGAGTGCCAAGGCTAGCTGGCGCCTACAAACATTTGTCTGTTCCACGAGTTCAGAGTGTACCTACAGACATATATTTATATTTAAAAGGCTGCAATAGGCCATCGTCAACCAAGGCCCGAGAACGTGCCAGGTACCGGACCCTTCCTCAGAGGATATTTTTGGACGGAAGAAAAAGATTAAGTTATTAAGTAGGTATAATAAGTTGGTTTTTATAGTTATGTGTTTTGTTCAAAGGTAAAAAGGTGTTGGTTAAAAAATAACATCCACTAGTGTGTAGGTGCATCAGAGTAGTCCAAAAGGGATAGCTGAATAAATGTAAAAATATAGTACAAAGTTAATCAATGAAAAATCAAATTATCTTAATAAGCCATAGTTTTTATTCTGTCAGCAAATTAAAAAATAACTGACCTCCTGAGTCAGACTGTCAGTGTTTCTATTTCATAAGTGTAATATGTATGATAAATACTACATTATTGTAGATTCTTAATTTTACTCTTGTAAGTATTGTGTGTATTATTTAATTTCAATTTATATTTACAATCCTCAATTGTCTTTTTTTTTCAATTTCTTGGTGAAATGTGTATCGTAACCACCCCTCATGTACCACTCTTTTTTATCACATTTTACGCAAATAAAATTATTATTACTTATGTTATCTGTAACATTTTTCAAGTACCTCTAAAAGGTATGAACAAATTATCAAGCGACTAATACGTCTACAGGGTGTAGATTACGTCAGAAAAAAAAACCGCAGTAAAGTGACGTAACAGCGTATATTTTCTCTAAAAAGCTTCTCACTCTTATACAGTCTGTGTTGTATACATTTGAGTATAATACTTCTTCATTGGTCATAAAGCAAGTTCAGTCTAGTATAGAACTCTCGCCGCAGACGATGTCTGTCACGATGGACCGGAATCCTGTTATTGAGGCGTAAAGTTTATTCAGTTCACGTATTTAAATTAGTACGATACCAGCATATCGTAACACGCGCGTGGTTTGAAATTTAACTTTTAAATATACAATCTTGATTCGCAAAAAATGACTGTATCGGTAGAAGCGTCCGCTACAGAAGAAACGCATCGCAAAGAAAAGGATTTGTTGGAGCATTTTGGGAAGTTTCAATATTTACAATATTTATGGATTTGTTTAACACTATTCATGGTTTCCATGACACATGTGAATTATGTGTTTGTTGCAGAAAATATCGATTACAGGTGAACATTTTTTAAATTCAATGTCATTAAATTAGTAATTTTAATTTATTATTTGTGTGTGTAAATAAAAACATTTATTTCAAATATTATGATTAATTAAGATTCAACATTTAGTTTTATTTATCGTGAACAATGATTAAGTATACATAAATTAATAAGTAATTGTATAAAATTGACTATTAATCTAATTACCTGATGAGTGTAATTGCTTAATAGTATTTACGTAGGTAGGTAGTTAAATATGTATACCTACTTACTTCAATTTCTATAACTGTGAACATCAATCAATATTTATGCAATCAATTATAAAAAATCAATATATATATTAGGTAAGTTCATTTTATTGTACATTATTTATATATTTCGCATTTCGAATCCTTTTTATTCATCCTTAAAATATTTGCAAGTTTGTACGTTTTCAATATGCAGTCATAAAGTAACAAGCTATTGAAGTAATACCTACATATTTATGTATGTTTGTTTGTACATAATACACAAGTACAACAAACACATTGTTGTACTTGTGTATTATGTGGTATGCGGCCTATTATGGCCGCATGTCACACAATGAATGCATCGTCTCGATGCGATAAAAAATTACTTAAAATGTTCTTATGGGCACTATAAGTATACGGTGTCACTGAATTATCTATTCAGGCCGCAGCGTCTCAATTAATTAGTGTTTAAATAAAGTTTAAGTAACTACATATGTCATACGAAAACGAGCTAATATATTCTACATTAAATACTTATCAATGAAAATGACTGTGAGAGTGATAGTGTGATGTTAAAATGTATGTACCTAACTAAATAATAAATGTCAAATTCATCCAAATATTTTCTTAAACAATAAAACGAGGGCAAACCCTCGAGGGAATATTGTAACTTATTAAATCAAATTCAATATCATGTTCGAAAGGAAAGCGTGTCTGATTGCATCTTCCAAAATCGGAGTCCAATGTTTTTAGCAGATTTCGAGATACCATTAATTATAGTTTCTTTTGGAAGTATGTTTTGAAAACGTCAGTGCAAATTTCTTTTTAAACCGAATAAAATTCTTGAATTTTAGTTAAACGTCATTAAATTCATCAGTACATTCTATCTGCTATCCCTTTCCCGTTATAGAAATTTTACGCCCATTTACGAGTATAACGCAATTTTTTTTCATTTATTTTTTATTTTTATTTTTTTCTTCATACGATAAAAATTAGAACGTTTGAAATAAACGTAAGAATGAAATTTTTTTTTTTTACTTTCGCAAACTAAAATGTTTAAAAATACTTACTGTTTACGATTAAACGTGATAGTAAATATTATATTATTTTTGTTTACATGATTTCATGTGTATCATATAATCATTCGCCAGTTATGTTATTTGCCTGAGCCTGATTTTAACATCCTCCATTTTGCTTTCAATAATATTTTGAAGGAAATCTAAGTATAGCAATTTACCCGAGATTTAAACTAACGATTTCTCAATTACAAAATGAGCCATACTAAAAAGTTGGGTATATAATGCGGAAGTAAATCAATACTAAGCATTCATTCGAGTAATTTTAATACGAGGTTCAGTTCAAGATCAAGGCGTTTTGTTTCTCAGTGAAGTATCGATAAAATACTGTTATGACGTTGTTTTTACATCGTTAGAAGAGTTTTATATAACTTGGATGTTCTAGGTAGACTGACCTGTTTATACATGTAACTTAGCTCAAAATCGTAATAAAGGAGCAAGGCAGTGCCGCCGCCAAGTCGTGCAAAACAAAAATAACCGTCGTATTCTCGAAGCCATTCAAGACATGTTCGAGCCTCTGGTCTTTCATTGTAATTTTTTTCGAAATACCAACAGCATTAAATACAGTTTTTAGAAACTAAAACTAATCACATCATAGCTATTGAGCTGATTATAAAGGTGAGATTGATAAAGGCCAAATGTAAAGCTTACCAAAATTCATTCCTTTTACTAATGTCATTCACTGATCCACTCGTACTTGCACGAATAATGAATGAGTTCTGTCGGTAATTAGTGTTGGCTCGAGGTAATGCTATAGTATCGAGAATTTAATTTTTTTCAAGTAGGACCGAGCCATCGACATGGCCATTGACAATATTCAGGAATGTCACTACATTAGACACAGCTCGTCTATCCTTTAAGGGTAGAAAATGATACCTTCTATATCTTGTTTCATAACCATGGTCAGTACACTTGTCTTGGTCTTGTATTGCAAGTTTCTTAGAAACTTTTTTGAATAGATTCAATACTTCGATACAGGTGTAGTAAAACGGGTTCCACGCCGCCGATGCATATTCTAGGGTACTACGCACCAATGCACAATACAGCACCTATATGGGCTTAATGTATTTAAATTCTGAAATAGATATAATAACCTAGCGATCTATAGTCGTTTTTAACGACGGAGTCAATGTGCTTATCAAATATTAATTTGAAGTCCTGTATTAAGCCTAGATCCTTTCTACTGGATACAGATATATACTAGGTATTTACACTAGGTATATTTCCAAATTTCATTAAATTCGAATTTTAAATAAATCATTATTTATTCAGATGTTTCAAGCCAAAAGAGACTTAGCTTTCATGACTTTCGTCGCTTTCGTTTAACAGTAAGAAAATGGTCTTAAAACGTTGAAATTATTTATAAGATTTTAATTTATTTTAAAAGATTAGTGATCATTGAAAAGATTTGCGATCGGATAACTGAATTGAAAAACAGTGCTCTAATCAGAGGCATAAGTGTTGAGTTTATTTCACTTCTACTCACACTTGGGTCTCAGTTGTCGTAAACGATTAGCATTGCAACATTGCACATATATATTTATTGAGCCTTGTGTCTCGGAAATTACAAATTCAACTCTTGATCTATATTGAAATTTAGAAACAATATCTCCTTTGTGGAAGAGAGTAGGCATGTCACTTTGCAATAGAGCTATTTAATTTTGACCGTTTGAGAGCTATTACTATTTAGTATCAAGCCGGATCTTCTTTTTGGAACGAAGTTCCTCAAAAGAAAAGCATAGCTGCTATCATTATTGTCTGATGAAAGATTTTCTTTTAAAACCAAATATTAGTTTGATATGTATGCACTATAGCACAATGAACATTATCATTCCATTGTAGTTATAGAAATTCAATTAAAAACGCATTTTAAAAGTCTTCTAAATTGTAGTTATAGAAAATCAATTAAAACGCATTTTAAAAGTCGTTATAATTAAATAAAAGAACCACAAAATCGTATGCCCGCAGTTTCAGTCACATTTGATTAATTCAAACTTCCATCTAATTTTTTGATTTCTATCGATCAGATCATTATGTCCTTGTCTCTGGCCCTGTGAATATTTAATCAAAACTTATTAGTGAAAATATGTTACTGATTTCTGATGATAAAGGGATAAGGAATATTTTTGTTTGCATTTAATACGTCTGCTAATTACCAGACGAGTAAAATGAAACTAAAAGTACTTTAAACTAAAGGCTAAAAACACAAAGCGATACCTATCTATTTTTTTTTGTGGTCGTTTGGTGATTCACTCAAGTATGTTAATAAGCAGATTTACATTATTTTATTTATTTATGTAGAGAAAGCCAAGGAAAGAAAACTTTCACTTATCATACTACATTTTCTGAACATCCCGTTACACATCGGTTAAAGTTGGATGTGTGCAAAACACATAATTTTCTTCTTACAACATTTCAAGAATTTGTAAGAAATGAATGTGTCAAAACATCAGAAACCCATACCAAAACACTGTGTACGATTGCCGTGTGATTTAATTACAATCGGTGTGCAATCAAATATATTTCTATTCCATTCTGCACGGATGGTGTAGTAGTTTAAGCGGTCACTTAGACGCTTTCTGTAGCGCTGAGTGTGCTTTCGATCCCCACATGGGACAATACTGTGTGATTTACACTATTGTTGTGCAGAGGCTGCGTATTTTTTTTTAAATTATACAAAAAATAATTGGCTATTCACGAAGCTATTTAAAGTATTTTAAAGTAATACAGTCTTATTATTTATTTAATCAAGTACATTTGATACGTTGTTCAAATAATGTAAACTAATATTGTGTTTTTACAGTATATTATTAAAATAAATATCTTGGAAGATTTCAGAGGACCGTGACGATCGAGTAGATGTGAAATAAACTCGTACTTGGGCCTCAGAGCGGTCGGTGGACGTGTGTTGCGGGGTTCCTCTGGGCTCCATTTTGGGCCCTTTGTTGTGGAACCTTGCATACGATGCGGTCCTTCGCATCAGTCTGCCTTCTGGCCTAAGTGTCGTCTGTTATGCTGACGACACACTAATACTGGCTAGAGGGTCACACTTGATGAGGTGCTTCAGCTCGCCGAGCAGCACCCCTGTGTCGTGGGAAAGATTCGTGCGCTGGGCGTAAGGGTAAGGCCTCAGAAAACGGAGGTGACATTTTCGCCAGAAACCACCCAGCTCACGCGGGCGGTACTTGGGCCTCATCCTGGACAGTCGCTGGAGCTTCGAAGAGCGAAATCCACCCTTCAACATTCTGGCCGACATGGAAGCGATGGTCTATGACCGAATTCGCTCCGTCGGTCGGAATTGGTGAAGGTCATGAGCCCGGAATGCTACAGCGGAACGCGCGTACGCAGGCGTTGCGGGCGTGTCAAGCACGGCTCGAAATCCAGGGCTGTGCTAACCAAAGCGCCGTCGGAGCCCTCTTGCTGAGCTTCGAAGCGTTGGTAGGGAGCAACCACTGTGTCACCTACTGATTGACTCAGATGCTCACCGGGCACGGTTGCTTCGGTGAGTATCTGAATCGAATCGGATGGGAGGTTACGGCACAATGCCACCACAGTGGGTCCCACAGGGATTCCGTCTAGCACCAGTTCTGGATGGACAGGACAGATTGGACGAAACTTGTGACCGTCAGATTGATTGATTGCGACAATGGTGGCGAGGGATGGGCAGCCGCAGTCTCCTTCTACGAAGACGTTATGCTTCAGATGGACGCCGCAGAGCGGGATCGGGAGAGGGCTGATTCTGCTTGAAGGAGGCAGCGAAGGGGACGCGGCAGAGGTCGTTAGCTCCCCAATCGCTGCCTACTCTGCTGGGTCACTGCGGATACATCTTAAGGTGAGGTGGCCGCTGCAAACGACCCGAGGCAGGTGACACTCCGGTGCGGCGGAGTGGTGTCGTCTAAGGCGCTGTTGCGCCTCTTACTGTGTAGAGCGGTGAGGGGTGCGGCAGCATCCCGCCATGGGGATAATCATGGAGGGGATGTGCCTCAATCTTGGGTACGGCAGGAAATACTCCAGAAGCCGCCAATACGTTCCTGGAGCTCCTCCTGTTCCTGGTTCCTGGACTGCTGAGGAAGGCCGCCGCGGGGTTTAGTGGGCAGACCGGTTCTCCGGGAGTCCCACACTCATCCTCCGTTTCCCCGACGGACTGTATGGTGCAAAAAGCATTCCCCGCGTTAAAAAAAAAGCGTGCGAAGCCGGGGAGGGTCGCTAGTAGATAGTACATAAGTGTGACAATCATTGTATTTGGCAAAATGTGTGTATATTATGTGTGTGTTTATCACAGAAGAGGTTAGTTACACGCTAACAGATCCGTTCCAATGCTAGTAGGTACCACAACATTGGCGGCCTTTTTAACGCCAGTTACATTAGCATATCAATAAAACGTAAACAAAAAGTACAGACGAATTTATTGAACAGCATCTGTTCGGTTCATCGGCCAAAAAATTCGCAACTTTAAATAACATTTTACAATTCCCTGTTATGGGCTTGTGTAAACTTAATTAATTTATGCCTCGTGAATAATGCTTACCTGGAAAAAAGGTCTTTACGCTAAATTTCAAAATGATCATGTGAGCGGTACGGCAGCGCATAAATTAAAAATACCTAATAACTTTACAAATCGTACACACGGTCGGCGGAGGGCCTACTTTTTTGTTTATTTCACAAAAACTCGTTCTCGACGGCAAGCGCGTTCGGCACAACTATTGGTGAAGATTTCAGTGCCGGACAATCGCACGATCGAGTTGAATGTGAAATAAACTTACAATAGATCCTCTGATCTCAAACTACGCAAAACCTGTACTAAGATAACCAGACTGCTACCAGACTGCGATAAACATATTTATAATTTTTAAATACACCAGATTTTTTTTCCTAGGCAGGAACTGAACCCATGACCGCTGGCTTAGCAATCTGGATCACTAACCACGAGGCAAACAGGCGATACAGCCAATAAGTAGATAAAGCATTGTATAAGGGCCACCTAAAAAAGGTTTACTAAAAGATGTACTCATTCACTTGGTCTCAATCCGCGCAATAGAAACTTAAATAAATAAAAAATAAAAACTTAAAACTACTCTACTGGAAGACGGGTGCCCCACATCTAACGCCTTTGAAAACATACAGATCCCTCATGCTATTCTTTAATGACTACCAAGGGGGTACTTTATTTAGGTTGTAAATTTATAATAATATTTGTCTGTCATCACTTACAAGTAAAGTAAAATCCCTATCTTTATAGTCTAAGATCCGGTTGCAGAATCAATGCACTCATCGAGTATGTGCTAAAAACCCATATTTACGCATATTTATGATTAGGAGATTGTGTATCTACAAGGTTGCCTATCAAAGTGTGGCCGCCAATATTTTTAATTAAATTTTTGTTAATTGATTTTTGGGAAAACATTTCGTTCACTTGTTTTTTAAATAAAATATCGTCTACTTCACGGCAATATATATAAAGACTATGAAAAATTACGGTTGCCGCTGCGCACTCGGCCGCACCTCTTCGCAGCCAGATGTAAACAGGTACGATTTTGAGACATTTATACATATAGGTACACATACGACACAGGACAAACGATCGTGCTCATCACACAAATATTTGTTCTGGTTGGGAGTCTTTATATATATTGATGTTTATATGTATCTTTATATATATTAATGTTTGATATTTTATTTAAAAAACAAGTAAACGAAATGTTTTCCCAAAAATCAATTAACAAAAATTTTATTAAAAATACTAGCGGCCAAATTTTGATAGGCAACCTGGTAGATATATAATCTCCTAATCATAAATATGCGTAAAAACAAGGTTTTTAGCACATACTCGATGAGTACACTGATTCTGCAGCCGGATCTCGTACTAATAGAGAGTAGTTTTGCAAGAAGTGCCGATACTCTTCTGTAACACTTAACAACATAGGTACAAAATAATAGTTCTATTTGTCACTATACTGAAATTAAATTATCGCACGTGACTTGAATAACAACTGACAAATGGTATCATCATCATCAATAGCCTTTAACAGTCCACTGCTGGACAAAGGCCTCTCTATAGAAAGGATGTTTTGGCCTACTATACCACCCTGGCCAGACGGGTTGGCATAGGGTTTGTGTCAAGGGTTTCCTTCTCTTTGCAGTCCTGCGTTGTTTGCTCCCTTAGCCGGCTCTTACGACACCCACGGGCAGAATAGGGGTGGTTACACTCCGTATTCTTAATCCGTCACCACACGGAAATGGTATGGTTAAGTTTAAAAAGCCGTAGGTATTTAAAAAATACAAAATTATAAAGAGGATTGAATAAAATAAAAATTATAAAGTGAAATGTATTTACATACGTATACCTGCACTCATAAGGCAAGCTTTTCGGTATAGTTGAGTACTAAACAACAAACCAAATCACACATCCATCATAGGTAGAAACTCGTAGGTACAAGTTTTTAATTATTTATTTTAGTTAAGATGTCACCTCAATAACTTTCCTTTTGTTAAACTAATTTACACAGTTCTAAAAGAGTTTTATACTCATATATTGACATCAATAATAAACTTATAAAGATAAGGTTTAATGAATCAATGATTGACATACATTTGCTAATAGGTGAACAGGCGAAGTAACTACATACGTAAATAAGTTTAACTATGACATGCCTCACAATTATTGTGATTTGCACATCCGTATAAAGAAATAATTTTTTAAACGAAATAGAATTCATCCAAATTACTTAAAAAGTAGCCATCATCGCAAAAAACCTTTTTTAATTTTTATTTAAAAATAATTCTAAATCTTTAGGTCCGTGAATTTCAAAATTTAACTTAAAAACACTGCCAATAATATGAGTAAAGGTTGGGGCAAACAGTAGGCGGGGCAGGACCGCCAGCAGAGGCGGGCGCCGCGTCGTCGAGACGCCGCCGTTTCGTACTCGTAATTCCTTCCCGCCGTTGAAGTGTTTTGCTGTCCATAGTTGACCTGTATAACTTGAAATGTAATTAAATAGGCTTTCTGTACGATTCAATATCTGTAGATTTTTTTTACATTTAATCATAAACTCATTAAAACTTTAGGCTTCTACTTCTACACTTTTTCTACATAAAACTTTATTTAGGTATCACAATTTTCACATTTACTGATTGAAAGACTGCTGTCGGACTAGGGCTCTAACTGCCCATAACTATTGCCACATATATTTGTATGGCGACTAGTTGCTATGTTCTCCGAGGCGCGGAGAGGTCTCAATGTGTTAAGAAATGGTCACCCATCAATAGCCTGAATAAGATTGCTTACCTTTGCAATGTGTTAAAATACTCGGTTACCACTTAGCGACGAGCAGTTCACAAAGAAGTCTCTGATTAATCAATAATAAATTAATTTTTCCCGCTGTCTTTTCCAATCATAGAAAACAATTTTATTTTACGACATTCCGAATTTCTGTAATACGTTACTAACTTTTCTAATTATTGTTATTTTGGTACTTACGGGAAAATTTTATATAAACAATGTCTGCCTTGGATTCGTTGATATTTTAAAGGAAATACTATACATAAATTTATATTTAAGCTCGAATCTCTGTATGAATTTGTTTAAACAAACTATTATAGAAGTTGAAGCCAAGAGTGCCAATTGATTCATTACTAAACAGAAATATGTCCATATTACTCGTAGAATCAATTGAGCTCATTGTATTAATAACATCAATCAAACATGTTTTATGAATAACAAAATGTTAATATTTGTTAAACAGATGTCGAATACCAAAATGTGAAACTTCTAACTCGACCGTTGCAACACCGTCATGGTGGCCAGAGGATGTGGACTCGAAGTGCTATAAGCCGATACTGAATAAAAAAAATATATATTCCACGAATCTAACATGCACCAATGATTCGTTCAGCATGCAAATAGAAGATTGCTACGATTGGATTTATGAAAACAACAATTCTATTGTTTCTGAGGTATGTTTAATAACTATATACTAGCCTAACTGCAAGTGTTTTATCAGCTATTGCAATTTATTGCGGTTGTCAGTGAGAAAAAGGTTTGAAAAAAAACTCATTAGTATTTTACCTTTAACATGATAAAAAAAATGATACATTTTCGTAGCTAACATATACTTACACAATTTTTAACTATTAAAAAATATGGAAACCAAGCATTCCAATTCAAGCATAATTATTTAAAAGTGGAATAAGTGTCAGTTTATATTTCGTAAGTTTTGATTAGTGAGTTCGAATTTCCGTAAACTGACAATTCGAGATACAGGTATGTATGCGACTCTAACGTGCTCGAGTATTGCTTTCATACTACAAGCCATCCGTATCATCATCATTGGCCTCTTGCGTCTGTTCTAGACGATTTAGTTACTGTCCCGTAGCCATACTTCTAAAGCGATGGGTCCTACCGCACACTCTGCACTTAAAACTACGTCGTTGTTACTGACGCTTCACTCTCCTTTCTGACATATCTGGAACCAAGTGTTATCGTGAACTGCGCGCCCATGTTACAGTTAGCAGATTGCTTTAACACGCCTCTGCATACCCTATAATAGATATTTTATTGGCGTGACTGTATGTATGTTTAAGAAAAATATAATTATTATTCTAAAATTCGTCTTAGACTAAAAATGAGAATCGCTCTGAAAGTAGTTGAATGTATTTTAAATGAAACTTTTTGCACGTTGTACATGTTTTTTTTCTTTTATGGACTTCCTGTTCTACAAATTTATATAAAAAGCAATGCAGTTTAGAAGGTTCTACTCGAATTCTAAAAAAAACGGCTTTGAACGCCAGCTTTTCCGTTTCTGTCCGTTCTGATTAGCGTTGTTGTTAGAATCAAACAAATTCTTTAGACTTATAAATATTTATATTTACACTATTCATAATAGTCGTACGTATTTTCTCTAGAAACTGTTACAATTCATAGCAAAAATGTGTATCAATGTGTAATAAATTATGACTAAGATGACAAGTAAATAATCAAAGGTTAAATTTAAAGACCATCTTAACCTTTAATTGTTAAAGGCTCATTGCTCCGGTCTTTGTATACAGCGTGTTTAGATTTCTACTTTGTAACAGTTCATATTTGTAAATCTTTAATTGAGATGATGATGATGAGATGTTGAGGAAAATATTTATGTTTTGTAACCGTCATTTGTTAGTATTGATTATACAACTTGACTTTTTTTCATGCTTCGACCGGTTTGTTTTATTTTATAGCTGAGATTGACTAAATTATTTTTTGCTTGCCCTTGCCTTTACGTTTGCTGGGTATATATGTATGTAAACTTCGTAAATAACTTATCAATACTACATAATAGACTAGAAAACACAAAGATACTTCAAACATGCTCGTTAGTGACACTACGTAATGAAATAGGTATGTTATAGATAAATGTAGGTTGAATGTCATTGTCTAGCAATGAATCAAGCAAAGAAACAAGTTCCAATCAAATATGTTACATAAAAAACCCAAGCCTCACAAGTCCTAACGCAATTTTATCGAAAAAGTTTATGAAATCTGAACCTCACTCCATTTATTAACTAACTAATTGTTATAGTGATAGTGTCAATATTAGACATCTCCATGTCTAATATCTTCAACCTTCAAGTTGTGTCAGACGGGTTTTTAAATGTTAGTATTTATCGCATTTCCTTTTTTTGTTGAAGACCTATTTTATTTCAAATACTGAATTTGTTTCGTTAGAATAGGAAAAGATAGATTTAGATATTTGTCCCACCAACCAAAAACCAACCCAAATTTATTTATTATCCAAACTATATTCACATTAACAGCCTTTATATTCCACTCTTGGACATAGGCCTCTTCTTAGAAAGGAGGTTTTGGCCAGTTGGGTTGGTACAGGGTTCGTTTCAAGTTTTCCTTCTCTTTACAGTGCTGTTGTTCTGCGAAGTTTGCTCCCTCATTCGGCTCTTACGAGACCCTTAGGATGAATAAGAGTGGTGAAACTCTGTATTCTTAATCCGTCACCACACGGACTGTGGCACCACTTATAATTAGGTATATCCCTAGTCACGGTGCGCTAAATTACGGTTTCACGGTTTTAAGAGAAGGAATTGTAGAACAAAAAAGATAAGATGCAAATTTGAAGTCACATTCATACGTTTCATTTGTTTCGTAATTTGGTTTACAGAATTTTTGCTACGTGTTGCAACGCTAACTTAACTGTTGCGAAATTTCATTCCTTGTAAACGAATTGAACAAATTTATCTACAACAACTTATAACACTTTAAGGCTAACGATATTGCTACAAGACACTTCGCGAAATTCTTCGTCAAATAAATTCAGGTTCCTTAAGACATTGTGAAGAAACTGTGGCGCATGAATGAGTTAAGAAAGCGAGACAACTAATTTCTTGCACTTTAGATCAATTTGTGATAATTTCAGTAAGGGATGATAGCGCTTCTTATAATTAAAATAATATAACTTAACAGAATTAGTGACTATTTTCCGTTTTTTTTAAAAGTAACAAAGGGAAAATAATGTGAAAACATCGAAATACGACGTCACAAATCGTCATGGCTGACGTGTTTCAACAAAGCCTATCGTATACACCTACGGTCTATACACCATGGTATAGACGTTTAATAAAGCGAAACTAATATAACTTGACGGTTAACTACTTACGTCATAATATTGATATTTAGCATGGCAATGCCGGCTCAGCCAAACCTGTTGTATTCAAGTTTATGATGGTTTGCATTCCTTCGTATTTACCTCTTTTAATTATTTTAGTAATCTGATTTAAATGCAAATTTCCTAGCAAAATTTTGCCTGCTCACGGCATAGATTCTAATACATTATTAAATAAACTGTTTATTGACCCAAAAAAATACACTTCACTGAAGAATTCTCTCTTTCCTCCAATCTGTGGGACTGATTTCGAAATAAGGGACGGAAGTATGTAACAGGACGCTGGGCAAACACTTATCTTGTTACAGACTTAAAGTCACAGCTCATTACACCCACCCGGCAGCCGACCAGCACCGCCTCGACTCGGTGTCCACACTGGTGATCCACGGGTGGACGCCGCGTTATTTTCCAGAAAACTATACGACAACACGATTAAGAGGAAGCAGTGTGCCGCCGATGCATCAATTCATCATCAATCAATCAATTTCATTCCAGATTGATTGTACTGCGGTATTGGAGTCTTATTCTAGACTCGGAGAGGGTCTCGAAGGCCTTTCGAATGGTGTTTAACATAATCTGTTTTTATACGCCATCTGTTTTTATCGGCCAATGTTGCGCAGCACCATTGGCCGATAAAAACAGATGGCGAGTCTGCCGCACGACCCCCCTTTTGGATAAAGACAAGGTCTCTTTCTTCCATAATGTATGAAATGTCCCTAAATAGGTACTTGCAGAAAAAGTTAATGAAACTATTTAGATGAAAAAGAAAAGGGCAAGATGCCAAACTCGGCCAAGGATGCCGTCAGGTCCTTGCCATTGATCTTGGCTTAGACCGGTTACATCCGCGTCTTAGGCACCATCCGATCCGAATTAGCTTGAGGGCTTCTACGTCTTCGGTGTTTGGAGCCCGAGGCTCTTATTATAATAGACTATCTACTCTTTTTTCTGATTCGTTTCGCTATCCTTCTGTAACAGTATTTTATTGATTTCTACAAAACCACTTAGACGTATGTTAGTCTATTTAAAACAACAAAATGGGTCTCTTATCTGTGATTTTGTAATATATGTAATGTTATAATAATTAATACAATTGCCTTAGTTTTTATTACCTTGGAATTGTTAATAAAATTCAATAATTACTGATAATGTAATGTTAAAAGATTTCCTCTTGATTTTTATGAAAATCTTTAAGCGCGGTGTGAGTCAGAACATTAGCAAAACTAAACAATTAATAAATTTACATAAATAACACATTTTTTAAAATACTTTATCCTTATAGAATCTCATTAATATAAAACTAGTAGTAAAATTTCTCTTAAGGAAAATATTGGTAAAAATTATGTTGTTTTATCATTATTTTTTGCATTTTTGGGAACACTGAACATAATAAACACCTCACCCGCGTCCGCCTAATCCTAAACTAGACTATAGGGTCTATAGTCTATAGTAATTAGATTGCTTATAGCCAGCCATCAACAGCCTATAACAGTCCACTTCTGGACATAAGCTTCTCCTTAGAAAGGAAGTTTTGGCCTACTATACCACGCTGGCCAGACGGGTCGATATAGAGTTTCTTTCAAGTTTTCCTTCTCTTTGCAGTGCTGTTGTCCTGCGTAGTTTGCTTATAGCAAGTAATATATTATAACCATTAATATAATATATTATTATGATATTGTTATTACCTAATACATACTTTATTTTTTCTTTTTTGCCCTAACGTGAGGCCCAGTAGGTGGTAAAATTTGATTCTATGCAAAATGTTTATACCATAAATACAGTAGGTAGTAGCTTAACATATATTTTCGTTTCAAATATTTATGGTACTTATTTTTGTTTTCTCATAATGATACACGTACGTACGTACACGCTCGCCTATATCCCCAAAGGGATGGGCAGAATTGATTAAAATCCCAAATTTTCATCCATCTATAATTTTGTCCTAACTCATTTACTTAATAAAGTGCACGTCTGTTTAATACAGATTTCTCGTATATTGCCTTGAGTAATTTCGCTTCTTAACTTAGTAATTCTCTTAAGGTAATAAGTAACAAAAATAGACTTGAAATGGAAGCCGTTTGACTAACTTGATTTAATCCGAACATTCACATCAATTACGGTCGACACGACTAGTACAAGTCTTCAAGTCGATGACCGGCGCTCGCTTGACGCTTGGACTAATTATCTGGCGCTATACCGCTATCATAATATCTTTCTTTATACATACACTGGATATTTTTAACCAATGAAAAGGGCCTATAACGAATGAAATACCTTGTTTGTTTGGTAACTAAGTTACGAAGATACATAAATGTTACCTACTACATACATATATAGAGGCATTTGAAGATTGTATGCAATTGACATCAGCATGACTATTGAAAAATATTTTTTATGTATAGACATTTCTGATCAATTCTGTATCGGAATTATTTGTCAATGTTAATTTACTGCAACCGACCTCGTAAGTATATTGCACAATCCACGGCCCTAAGGCACTGATGGTTGGAGCAGTAGCGTAATTCTAACAAAAGCATAGTTAAAGGCCTAGATTTACTTAAATATGTTCGGATTAAACAACTGTCGATTTCGAATGCACGAACATTCTTTAAACAAAGTTAAATACGATCAGCAGATCACGTGATTTGAAGAAATCGCAAAAAAACTGGTCCTGCTTGTGAATCTGCGACGTATTATAATTATAGGTTACCTAAGAAATATTTGTATTAAACATAACACAACCTTGAGCTTTAGTTGGGAAACGAATAACAACAACGCTAATAATTCGTTAAACAAACCTTTTAAAATAATAATAATGTGGATACTAATAGATACAGGCAATATTTCAGGAAATCCGTCTATCTGTCATTTACATGTTACATGTATTTTAGCACATATGGTCTAAAACCCGCAAGCAGGTATCGCATACCTTAAACGGCACTATGACATGTTTTCACAATAAAATTTACCTTTAAAATCTATTATTTTCAGCTCAATCTAGCGTGTCAGCCTTTTAAAGTTCAAATGGTCGGAGGTATTCACAACACCGGTATGATCATTTCTATGATATTTGCTGGATGGATAGCTGACAGGTAAAAATAAGATTATTTTTAATATTATACCTTTACCACTGTTTTCATGATAACTTTAAAATATAATTGCACTGTCAAGTTTGCTTAATGATTGTGACAAGTTTAACATGAAAAAAACTTAAAAATATTAGGAAGTAACCTCTACGAGTTTTTGTTCTTAGGTACTACAACTCCTGTCCGGTTTTAGGCTAGAAACTAGAGATTCACAGTTTTGAAATATATTTTTTAAGGTTATCTTTGGTATTTAATTTACTCAACCACAGAATATTTAATAGGTTTAGCAAAACCCCATTAACTTGAATTAAGATCTGTGAGGATTATTACCACTCAAAGTGAATTAAATCAATAACTTCTATCCAATAACAGGAAAACAAACTTCTCGATGTGAAAGGAGAGGTAGTGAAGTTCATCGCACGTGTAGCAGGTCTAAAACATGTTTAAATATAGATATATATTTATATTATGTTTAAAACATGCTAATAATATAATTTTCTAGAAAAAGGTTACATCACATGATCCTTCGGTTGAACGTAAAAAAACTGTACCTGTTTATACTCGTAAATAGTACTACATTAGAGACTCGTAGCAACAAGGCTAGACATACCTATGTATATATATATATATATATACAGACATTTGTACTACCTACGATGTTCGATTTATCAAATTAAATATAATATTAATCTGAATAGTTTTTAACTACATACATCTATTTTATTATTCATCGTATTCAAAACATCATCTAAACACTTATTTCAGAATTGGAAGAAGACCGACTTTTATATTATGTGGAGTAGGAGCTAGCATTGGAGTTTTCAAGATTCTCCTTAAAGATTACTATCCATACTTATTTATAGAATTAATGGAATCTATCATAAGTTCCGGTCTTTACACAGTTGGAGTCATATTATGTAAGGATCAAGTTTTTCAAATTTTAGTCAAATGTAAATAAAAGTAGAAAAATATTGGTATTTTAATATTGGATTATTTTTCAGTAGTTGAAATTGGTGGACCATCTCAAAGAGTAATGGCGGGTATCATCTTCTCTTATGCAGTTTACGTTGGTGAAATCGTATTTGCAATTTTAGCCATGACTTTACAATACTGGAAATGGCTGATCTTGACCATTTATGCACCAATGATATTATTTATTAGTTACTTTTTCTTACTAAAGGAAAGTCCAAGATGGCAGATACTCCAAGGAAAAATGGAAGAAGCAAAGAGCACTTTGAAAATAATAGCAAAGACAAACAAGATAGATATTGCCGATAAAGATCTTGATGATTGCACTGACGAGGAACTTCGCTCGCGGTTTGACGTCGGAGACCAAAAACAGAAGGAAAATTTAAAAGCTATAATTTCTTCAAAAGAAATTATGACTCGTCTAGTAGTTGCTGCGTTTTGTTTTTTTGCCTCTAGTTTTCTTTATTACGGATCTTTGGTACACAGTGTACTGCTACCAGGCAGTAAATACACTAATTTTATATTAGCTGCAGCATCGTCCTTTCCTGGAGAACTGATCGCTTACTTCACTTTCAACAAATATGGGAGAAAAATAACTTTACAGTGTGGATATGTAGTCTGTGCTGTTTTTCTAATCGTTCAAAGCTATACTCCTGATTGTACGTACCTATTATTTTTTGTATCCTCATATTATTTATGTTTAATATCCTATTTGTGTACGAAACTTCAATAATGATTTTCATAGCACTAAAATAAATTGCTTGTATTTTCCAGAGTTTTTATTATTTAATTATTTCTTACAATACTAGTAGGTACATTTAGAAAACATGTCATTGTGAATTATTCCTTAATTTAAAAAAAAAAACTCAAAGTAAATAATTTTATTAGCATGTACTAAATATATAGCTATACAAATACTAAAAGTAAGACAAAAAAAGATTAAATTGAATTTTAGAAAATGTAACTCAATTTTTTTTTTACAGATTTAACTTGGGTGAAGCTCTCATTTTTTCTAATTGGTAAAATGGGAGTGGTGATATGTTTTACGGGTATATACACATACAGTTTGGAACTATTCCCAACCAGTGTTAGAGGAACGTTGCTGGGTTTCTGCAACACTACAGCAAGAGTTGGGAGTATGTTTGCGCCTTTGACACCACTATTGGTAAGAACTTTAGTCTGTTTTTCCTATATTTTTACTCCCTGATAGGACATAGAAATAACTGTAATTTAGGAACACATATTGTGTACTTTATAAAATATCAAGTATAGCGTCTATAATTTATTGGGTGAATAAGTCCACGAAATTAGGCCAAAATAACCAACACCATATGCAGTTGGGGTTCGTAACCTTAAGGCACATATTTAAAGCCTTTTGTTTTTAGATGACCGAGGTTGCGGCACTTCCATCTATCCTCTTCTCAGCAACTGCTGTCGTAGCTGGTGTGTTGTTAATATTTACACCAGAAACGAAGACTCTACCGATGTTCGATACCATCGCCCAAATCGAATTACATAAAGCGAACCAATCGAAGATATGTACAAAATTATGAAATTATGTGATATATATTGTATTGATATGAATTGTAACAAAACTATTTTAAGGTATATTTTTGTATTGACAAGACAAATAGGGTAAGTGAGTTATCGGGTATATGTTCCAAAAGTGTAAAATGTCCAGGCCTTTTTTTATAATTTTTACATGTTGGTGGACAAACAGATAATACTACCTTACCCAAACACCTGTCAAAGTCTTACAATTTTCACTAAAAAGCCATTTTTTGGTGTTGTGAATTGTTCTACAAGGCTCGAGCGGTGGACTTTCATGGCCCGTAAATACTATGAGCTAACATCTTCGTATATGATGTTGGCTAAAGAGGTCACCGAAAAGAAAGGGGAGAGCACAATCTTCCGACACCAGAAGATGCACTAGGCAGAACGATGTTATAACTCCACGAACGCTGGAGGTAGAAGATACTACTTCACCACTGCTACACTGTAATGGTGGCCCGTAGAGGTTTCCTCATGATAAATCTTCTTATTGTTTATCTTCTTTTTTTTAAGAAATATTTCCCCACTTCATTCATGAAAAAAAAATTATATTATTAATAAGTACACTAAATTAATCAACAAATACGAAATCAAAAATAGGTAAAACTTGGAGACCAATTTTTTTTATATTTTGTATTGTATTTTGCCCTCCCGGATCTCAAAAAGTTTGTTGTTTGTTGTGTGTAAATTAAAATATTATTGTAATTAATTCAGTATTAAGTTAGTTCTATCGAAATTAATTTAGTTGTTTTTATGACTTTTTATTATGTAATAAATAATATAAATAAAATAAGAGCCTTGAGTAACATTGTTATTAATGTGTTGAATTTTGTAACGTAATTTTGTAACATATTTCTCATTTTAATTTGTGACAATAATTAAATTTATTTACTTAAACGTTATTATAAGGTTAGACCTTTTAAATCAAGGCGCTCCAATGCAAGTATTGAATCGTTTTGCCCCGCATTTGGGCGTTGTGATGTAGGGAGCTCAAATCTGATTTTACCTAATATATGTTTTAAATATTTACTAATTTAGAATTATACGTTATAATTATACTTAATAATATCGATAAGATGGCAATGTACAAGAAATATAAATATTTCATTTACTTAATTGTTGTCTAAAATAAATGATATTTGGTTATAAGTATCTGTATTAAACTGTGCCTTTTGTGACGTAGAAAAATTTAATATAATTATGTGAATAATTATCTTAAAATTATAAATTTATTAGAATCGTCAATTTTTTTTCTTTCACCTAGTTATGTGTAATACGAATTGCCAATTAATTCCATTTGAGGGTGTACAAGAAGAGCATGAAAAACACGACATATCGAATTTCAAATATCGATATCTTTCCCATTAATACTTACGGAAATCGTCCGTGTGGTGACGGATTAAGAATACGGAGTGTCACCACTCCTAGTCATCCCGTGGGTGTCGTAAGAGGCGACTAAGGGAGCCAACTACGCAGGACAACAGTACTGCAAACAGAAGAAAACTTGGCACAAAACCTATGCCAACCCGTCTGGCCAGCGTGGTATAGTAGGACAAAAACTCCGTACTAAGGAGAGGCCTATGTCCAGCAGTGGACTATTAAAGGCTGTTGATGTGTGCTCGTATATTAAAGGCGGATAAATGTTGTTTATACGTATAGACCATTAGGTTGAATCGGCTAGACAATTCTTGCGAATCGGTTCCGAACCGAACCGTTGAAATTACAGTAAACCGAGTTTAAACCGTATAACGAGTTGACGAACGAATGTAACACACGAAAGCAATGTGCGACATGATTAGACGGAATCGATTAAACCATCGTTTTACGGTTTGCCAACGGTTCGCAACCAAGTTTACGTACAGTGTAAAACTTGACATTTCCTACACTGACCGACGCCGATGGTATGAATTGATTGGTAGTACCCAGTAAAGTAACACGATTCCCATGCCTTTTTTTCTCATTTCGAGAATTTAAGAAAAATAACTTTGAGATCAACAAATATTTATATTTAAATTTACAATAAACTAATAACAACCTTGTTATACAATATGTACAGGCCCATACTTATACCATAAAACTTTTCTGTAATCAAATCTCACACTGTTGTTTTAGTATTGTAGATCGTGTCGCATCGACTCAATTCAGAATCAGTTGGTAGATAAATCTGTTTTGCTCGATCGATAAAGTAGGAGCCGCGAGCGCGACAGTAAGCGCTATCTTAAGACCCGGCTCAAACGGTTTAAACCACGGGCTAACCGATTCAAATCGGTTCGTGCTCAAACCGTGTATTTTAAATCGGTTAGGAAAGTCGAGTCGTTATCGTGACACCACTAATCGGAAGAAATAACAAATAACCTCAAAGTTCATACCGCGGATGTGTATTGGTTGGTTTTAATTAATTTTTTAGAGATTCGGGATTCCTAACTACTTGCAGAGTTTTATTTGACAAACATATGGTATATCACTAATTTCACAATACAGAAATGGAAGGATTTGAAGTGAGAACATCCAATACTAAAAAGGTAAGTCTTAAGACTTGGAAACCGTAATGTTTAATAGACATTGGCTTATATTTTTTTTATATTTTAGGGTAAAGCTTTGTTCGCTACGAAGAAATTTGATCAAGGCGATATTATTTTAGAAGAGGAGCCCCTGGTTTCCTGTCAGTTTGCTTGGAACGCGGCCTACAAATATTTGGCATGTGACTACTGTATGAGGTATTTAAAAATTTAATTCTTATATATAATAGCAATATTGTGTGGTTACGATATTAGGTCTAATATTTGACGACTATATATTAAGTTTCTATGTTGCAACTTTTACTGAAATTGTGTAATACAATTAAAATGTAGATTGTGTATTTTATAAGCAAAGACATCGAAAAGATAATAAAGCAATATGTCACAAGTAGAAATAATTATTCTATCATAAACAAGTTCATGCTTTATTGATTTAAATAATGGTTATTCTAAAAATATAACACCACTGTAAAAAAACAAAGTTACACATCCCATCCCTTTGATTCCAAACTAGGCAGAGTCTACTATGGTTACCAGACTACTGATAAACATACTTATATATTTCTAAAAACATAATTTTTTTATGCTGTATTGAATTAAGATTATATTTTTTAAATGACATACAATGGTGTTGACATTTCATGTGAGTGTATGTTCATTTTAACTTACCTGTTTAGATTTCTGGCAAGTAGTAATTTCTTATAATTTTACTTTTACAGGCCATTAGAAACCCCAGAGCAAAATGTCCGAAGACTGTCATGCAAACCAGACATAGTCCTCCCGCACTCTGATTGTTTTGAAACTAACTTTGAAGCTATCACCAGCTGTGATCAATGTGGAATACTATATTGCTCCCAAGAGTGCAAACAGAAGGCTTTTGTGGCCTTTCACAGACTGTTGTGTCATGATTCCAGTAATGCGCAACATCCTATAGTGGTGCTTCTTGAAGCATGGAAGTAAGTATCAATTTGCCTTATGCCTTGCCTGACATTATTGCGATTTAGAATGTAGTAGTTAATTATTAAGTCAAATCAGTTATTTATTATTAAACACCAAAATAAGAAACATTATTAACTATTATACACATTAAAAAAAATTGAAGAAGTGCCAAACATACTTTTTTAGTTGTAAGTCAAAGAACAACCAATTTATTTAACAAAATTAATGTATTATGTAATTATAGATGATGTGTCATAATAAGGATTTTTTTGAAACATTGAAAAACATTAACACACATTTTAATAGTTACTACAACTGTTAAAAACTACTTTATTATTAATCTATTCTTAAGCATCATTAACAGCCTTTAGTAATCCACAGTTGTCCTTAGAAAGGACCATGCTGGCCAGACAGGTTGGTATAGGGTTTGTCTCAAGTTGTCCTTCTATCCTGACTTTACAAACACACATGAAACAGACACAAAAAAGACCCAGACTAAGAATAACAATCACACAAAGTGTCGTCCCATGTTAGGATCGGACCCACAACACTCAGCGTAGTACGCGGCGTAGTGATCGATGAAACCCTTACGCTATCCATGCAGTCAATTCAATATTCACTGTTAAGTATATTATAGATAGAATTTAAAATCATAATTCTATTCTTCTTTCAGGCAAATGCATTATCCACCAGAATCAACAAGTATAATGTTACTCGTAAGAATATTGGCTTTTATTGAGCAAAGTGCAGACCCTTCGGCAGCTGCAGCCACATTCAAACAGTTTTGTCACCGTACAGTGAATGAGGATGCAGAATTGGTTCACAAGCTGTTAGGAGAGCAGTTTGTTGATCAACTGAATACATTGAGAGAATTAACGGCTAATGTTATAAGTGGAGATCATGTTCAAGAAGTATGTATACTTTGTTGTTGTTATTTTCTGGAGTTTTCTAGCATTAAAACTATCATTCGTTTTTTAAAATTATAACTATGGTGCTCAGAAAACATCAACAAAAATGTATGTCTGGCCACATGCTAAATGATGCTCCGTAGTTTGTTGGTGTGATATATATAAATTACGTATATGCATGTGCTAAACTACACCCTTTTATCATAAACACTATATAAGTCAAGCTGCGGACAGACAGAAAAGGCAAAATCAGTTTTTTTTGGTAAGACTGGAACATATGAGTAAATGAGTTGCTGAGATACTGGAAATAACTGATGCCTAATTTTGCTCTTATGAGAGGGATATTTACATGCAACCACTGCTCTGTAACCATGTTTTGACCATCTGTCAAATTCAAGACTTCCAAACATTCTTGAAAAAACTTATCAGTTACCACTGATTTATGTCATCCTCATAATAATAATAATATTGGAAATGCATAAAACTACAAATTGTGGAATATTTCAGTTCCTGACACCAGAAGGCTTCTGCACCCTTATGGCTCTTGTTGGGACTAATGGACAAGGAATCGGCACCAGTCCTCTAGCAATGTGGGTGAATGCTGTTCTAGAACTTACCATGTCTGATGATGAGAGACAGCAACTGGATCTGTTTATTGATAAGTTGTATCAGTATGTGGAAGAAGGTAAGAGAGAGAGTTCTTTTTGTTTTTATTTACTTATTTCTGTAGCTGTAGTATGTATGTATATATGTATTATATCAGTTGTCTAGTAGCAATAGTACAAGCTCTGCTAGGTTTGGGACTAGATGGCGTTGTATGAATGTATTAAAATATTAAAAAGAAATAGTTGATTATTAAACCATTGTTTTTTCACTGGGCTTCTACTAATGGACAAATGCTTCTGTAAAGAAGATGGGAACACGAGAAAATTGTTATGCATTTCAGCTCGATGATGGATCATTAAAAAACTGTACTTTCTCAAACAAAATATAATTACAGACACAGATTATTAAAATGTTTTCGTGTGCATTAGGTAATTACGATATTTTATTTTAGACCACTAAATGTACGCCAAATCATATTAATTTAAATTATTAAATTAAATTTAAATTAAAACTCTCGGACAACAAATGGCGGATTTTATTACTTTCTACTGAAAAATAAAGTAGAGTTCACATATTTAATATCCATTATTTGTTTGAGTGAAAAATAAATAAATTTCAGATTTGTGTTTAAGGTGTTATAAATTCAGATCTATGTTATAACTTAACTTAATTTATCGCAATCAAAATTATGTGACTTGTCGTATTTTTTAGAGTCCGGCACTTTCCTGAACACAGAAGGCTCGGGATTGTTTCAGCTTCAAAGTGCTTGCAATCACAGCTGTGCGCCTAATGCTGAGTCGACATTTCCTTACGGCAATCACAAAGTGCAGCTGAAAGCGCTGAAGCCGATCATGCCGGGCGACGAAATATGTATCAGCTATCTAGACGAGTGTGCGCTGCAGCGGTCGAGACATTCGAGACAAAAGGTAAGCCGACAGTATTTTTTTTTGCTTTATGGTTCAAAAGGAATAAACCCTTTCGATAAAGAAACATCTGTCTTCGATTTAGATTTTTTTTAAACAAATACTTATTCTAGTTGTAATCTGTTTCTGATTCTGGAATCGCAGAGAAATCGGGGGAACTCTTTAAATATTACGCACACTCATAGTAACTTGTTCAAATGTGCAACTTACTATGAATATATAATAATGCTTTTTATAATTTATCAGTATTGATTCACATTGCTTTTGATAAATGTTTATTCATTTTACTTGAGTAATCATTACACTATATGTTTTTTTTTTTAATGCATGCTAAGGTAAACCTATTTAACTTTGTAAGTCATGTTCAAGATGAACATAGCATACAAACTATACGAGAGCTGAACAGTTCACCTCTAAAGCAACTAAAGGTGCTAAAAATATGTATCGTTTTCACGGAAAGTCATGACGGGTAAGCCTTTAATAGGCTATACTATTGTTATTACCAGTAGTTTTTATAAAGTTCTAGAACAGTTACCAAAACCTCAAAATTTTGCATCTTTATAGGAGCTCGCCCAAAATTATCTATTCGTCTGTTGGTGTGAGCGTTGCAGCTCACAAGCATCTCAGCCCGACTGCACCAGCGAAGAGGAAATGAGCGATGACGACGTTGACGCGGACGACTGATGTTCTAACCTGCTCGCCCTTTGTCTCCTGGGGCTGTGACAGGACTAGCGGACTATTGCACCGCCTGATACTGACACCGGACTATTGGAAGTGTACCTACTATTGAGGAGTACGTACAATACTGATATCTCAATTGGAAGTTTGTGAAAGTGTTATTCACTTTAGTGTTTTAATGGGATAAATATATTTGTGTCAAATCGGACGTAAGATCATCATATGTTTTTGAAACTGGATTGCATTTCAGGTATCCGAATTTATTTTTACCTTGCCTCTATAGTGGCGGTGATGAGCTGAGTTACTTGGCTTGTTTGCCAATGTTATGCATTTGTTTTTAACTTTACAATCAAAGTGACATATATACTGGTTATATATTTAATTCTAGAGTAGCTTAAGTTTAAATTCGTTTTTAGTTTATACATATATATAATGTTGGTTGTACTTACTGTTTGTCCTATAGAAGGTTATACGAGAAGACGTATTGTGTTCTTCAATAGATACTCGTACTACTACCCATTTAACCATATCGTTAGATATTCTTCAATTTTGTGATGTTTATAAATGTATACTAACAAATTAAAGCAGATTCTTTCTTTCAACAGTTTGTTAGTATATTAACGATACCACAGTTTTGTATATAAATAATATAAATAAATGTATATGTAATAATAATAATGTATATAAATAAATGTATATATATATATATAAATACACCGTGATATTGTAGTTGCCGTCCATATTAACACAGATGAATTTTTTAGTAAAATTTATGAGAAACCCGCATTTTAGTTTAGTATCACATGGTACCAAAAAAAATTCATTGATAAATAAAGTACCTAACATAACATCCAAATACTAAAACTTCGCTTAATTAAAGGGCACGTTTGAAATAAGTAAAAAATACATCAGTCTTAAGTGATATGTAAAATATGTTAAAATACTGTGTTACATTTATTTTAATAAATGTTCGAATTCTAGTCTTCTAGATATCTAGGTTCATAATATAGTTTAGATCTTGTCTAACGACGTGTGGGTTGTGACATGACCACCAATGTTTGTTATGTTGGTTGTACAAACCCACACGAGTAAACAAGGCCTCGTCTGTCCACAAAATATTGTCACTTGGGTGTGCGATAAGCCACTCGCAGAATTGTCGACGAAGTAAGGCGTCTGTTTCTTGTAAGTCTTGGACTTTTTAATATAACGTAAGCGTGCAAACCAGCGGTGTTTATCAGCTTCCGTGTGCTTGCTGGAAGATCCCGTTCAAAGAGGTCGAAGATTTGTTCTTCGACCTCTATTGCAAGTCTTGACCTTGCAGTACCCCTTGCGTGTGACGGGGTTCTAAACTATCCGTAGTCTAACCGCCTCTGATTTGCGGATAAAATTGTTTGCCGGTTAGGCACCGATGGATTTAGTATACCTTGTCTTTGCAGTCGTGGTATACTTTCCGACTCGTACAAGTGCTGTGCACCATTAGGCTTTCACCACTACGAATGTAACAACGCACCATTTCGTAATACTAGCGATTAGAAAACATTGTTTGCGCTGTTGACGTCACGGGAGAACAAGCGGTAAACACGGAGGATGCACCGACGCGACAAAGATGCTTCCGACTGATCTATTCATTATTTAATTGTTTGATTTGTACCTGCCGGCGGCCGGGTTTCGCACACGCCTATGGGATGAAATATTTTATGTTGAAAATTTGACCTACCATTATTTGCAAAAATGGAGTCTATATAAAGCCTAGTGCCTAAATAAAATTTGGATGGTTGCTACAATTTCACGGTGTATGTATATATTAAATATCATTGTATGAACTACAACAACTATTCAGACTTGGAGTTGTTTGTACGACATAGATATGTTGTTATGTAATAAAATAACATTCGATAAATATAGTTCTATGTAGCTACTTATTGTGAAGAACAATCTCATCATATTTATGTGCTCAAAATAAAAAATATTAGATCTATTTAAGGATTATAGAAAAATGAGAGAATCTTAAAATAGGTAACAAATATTTATGCCATTTGCATGTTACATGATGTCAATATTTAATTAAACGTCGAATATATTAATTAAGGGAAATCATCTCTAACGTTACTACAATCAAATAATCTTTTCTATTTTTTTTTTATAAACAATCTTGCCCCTGAATCTTAAAATAAGCATCTCAATGCTGTGTTCGACAATTTCATGAAGCCAAACCCTCCTCCTCCCTCAGGTTCCTGAAATGGCGGGAACGCATGTGACCCTTGAGTTGCAGATGTCCAAGGACGGCGGTAGTCACTTGACCGCATTGGAACACCGCTCCTATACCAACAGAAATGTCTGGATACGATACATTATGGTTTTACTTTTTAACCCCAAACGGAAAACGAGGGGTGTCATAAGTTTAACCTGTGTATCTGTGTATCTGTCTGTCTGTCTGTCTGTGGCATTATTGGTCCCGAACAGATGTACTAATTTTGATGAAGATTTTTGTTCGAAAGCTATAAATTTTGTAGATTATCAGCTCACTTCCTAGGTGATGAATCCACAAGTCCGATTGATCTGAAATTTGGTATACTGTTACTTTGATGGTATTTCCATGCTATAGTAACCTGGAACTTGCTGCTGCATCAAGTAGTCTGCGGGATAGCAAACTCCTCAGTTTTCTTAATGTTTTTCGTGTCGGGATTATTTTAATTTTTAAATTAATTGTTATGTGTATAGGTATATAGGTAAATGGGCATATTTCGAGCCTATTATTAAGGGGTTAAGAGTTCTTCCGCGTCGGTGTCTGACGCCATTTTTAATGCTATTATGTATTCTATAAATATTCTTTTAATAATTAAAAAATTACAACGAGAACTTAATACGAAAAGTAGTGTGTGTATTTAGAAGTGATCGACTTACTAATTGTCGAGCTGTATAGCAAAATATAGTTGTTATTTTCAACCTTTAATAGCTGTAATAAAATTTAAAATGTGCGAGTGCTAATATAAAGTCACTGTGTTATTGACACAGGCAGGTATAACAGACATTACGTAACCGCTACGTAACTCAGTGGTATGTTTCGTTTCTCTATGTTCTACTAAAGTTTTTATTACAGGTACTTATTGTACCAGTTCAAATATGAAAATGTTTGTGTGTTTATAAAAGGCAGGTATTCAAAACTTGAAAAAAGAACAGTTTTAGAAAGGCATCTCTCGTTGTTACATTTATTACCAAAGGCGAATAAAAACCACAGTAATCCAATATAAATTTTCGGTACCTAAACCTGTAGCGCGCCTGTACCTATGTAAAACATTGGTTGCAAGTATTCGCGAATGAAAAATGCTTGATGTTGTAAAGTTTACAATAGAATTTTGAAATAGGAATGTCGTTGTGTTATGTTATTCGATGTTAAGGTCTAGAGATGTTATTTCGATGGTCCAAGGTTGGGGAAAGTGAATCGAATTTTATATTATGGCCTTTTAGTTTCGGCCTAAATTATATCGATATGTAATGTTAGACAAGTTAATGTGGTTTAGCTCTCATAGTGAGGTCAAATTATTACAATGATGGAAAATGACTTAGATTATTAATATTTATTGATGTCAGTAGTACGTAATAAACATTTTAAATGTTAGATACGAGTTACATACTATTTTCTTTTGTAGCTTTAAGAATTATTCGATTAGTCTAGGTCCATATTGGCTACACCTGGTTCCCTGGCTACTGGTTCCCGAGATGGCGTTCGGTTTTTAGTCGGTTCGAGTCCGACATAGCCACCGTGGTGGTATCCGAGGAAATTTCCGCACAGAAAAAAATATGTCCGTAGTGGCTGGTTATTGACATTTTATATTGTTTTCAGGTAGAGCGTTAGTATTAAATGATTTAAGGCTTAAACACAATAATATTGTTGTATATACTTTCCGTCCTATGACTAAACATCATTAAAACTCAAATGGCTTTTTTTACTTTTTAATTTTGCAAGTTTTATTTCTAGCTATACTTGAAAGCGAGTTAACTTTCACTTACCTCTTTATCGATTTAAAGAGAAAAATTAAAAACCAGTAAAAGTTTACCAACCAGCAATAATTTCTTATCTTAATTTCATAGTTCTGCAGAAACAACTTTAGCTTAGCGGCTTTTTAGATAAGGGCATATTTAGATAAGTTTGTTGCGACATGTATCGAAAGATTGCCGCATTGTATTCAATGTCATGCTCAATCAAATAAGTCGTCATATGTTAGCCATCCTCGTAATCGAGCACCCGTGCGTCTGAAAAAAGTTGCAACGGTCTGGATCCTGGGTGAACCCCTAAAATATGTAGAGCTTGGGGGACGTTTTGTATTTATAATATTTTTTATACATATGTAGTTTCAGTATTACAATTGTATTACTGTTTCTGTTAAATATACCTCATATCTTTATTGTTTTTGTTCTAAAATGTAATAAAGTACATAAAGAAAGTTTATACTTACATAATAATATTAAGATTTTCAAATAGGTGTTAGAGGATCAGGGTACTGAATTGTGCCAAATAGTGTAGAAAGGTCTAGATCAGGGCTTCCCAAAGTGGTCCCTTGGGGTCGAAATCGGTTTCCCAGGGGTCGACATAAATGAAAACTGATTTTTGGGGTGGACAAGGTCTAAAAATCGACCTATATTAATTAACACAAGTTCTTATTTAAAACTTTATAAAAATGAGAATGGCTAATATTTTAGTAGGAAGTATCATTGTTGTACTTTTAAAAAACCTAACAAGTCAATAAGCGTACAGTAATTTGGCTATATATGTGAGGTATCAGTTCATTTTAGAAAAGGGGTCTCTTGCCCAAAATAGTTTGGGAATCCCTGGTTTAGATCATGATATGAACATTGAACTTACAATTACACAATGGTATTTACAATTTAAATGTTATTGCTGCATATTATATTTACTTTCACTGTGTAAAACTTGAAAGCTATAGATTAGTGATCCGTTTTAGACTAGCAAATAAAAGTTGTTTATATATATAAATAATGTTAAT